CCTTTTTGCTATAAATAGTGATATATATATATATGTGTGTGTGTGTGTGTGTGTGTGTATACATATATATGTAGCAGTGTATATATATGTGTGTGTTTTTTATATATATGTATATGAATATATATATAAAATACACTTAGTAATATTGATATCACTTGATACCACCAGGATGGCCTTTATTGATTTATGCAGTGTTTCATTTTAGCTTGATTGCAGCTCTTAAAGATTGSCTGACTGGCTGAGTTCCATTTTACCCAGGAGAAAAAACCTAATTAAATACTGAGAGAGGTTAAATTCACAGCATAGATTGCCTCTTTGTTGATAATGTTTTCTGATGCAGGGAATTTAGAATCTCTGGAGGGTGGGATATTCTTCACTGCAGATCATATTCAGGTCTGGAAGGTTTTTCTATCTCCATTAAGATGCAGTCTCTTTAAATCTGATTATGGTTACTTGGTTTGGGGTGTATATTACCAGTGAAACCATTTCTTTAAATGGAATGTTTTAGGAATGGGAACGAAGAAGGGTATGACAAAGCATTAAATAAGAATAGCACTTTATATCCAGAATGTTCTACAARTATTAAATGCTCTTAAATTCCAGACCATCTAAAGAGAGAATTTCATGACTGGCCATTTCCACCTACAAGCTCTTTGCCTCCCTTGCTAGTCTTGGTCTTCTCAGTTGGTCTTGTTCAGGTCATGAGCATCTGGGGTTCATTTGTGGACCACAGGAAGATCATTGGAGATGGGTTGCAGATCAGAAGATGTTTTCCAATATATACCCTTGGTATACCAGCATGAAGGGATTCATATTAACATATTTCAACATTTATAAGTTAACMGAAGTTTGTTTTTGAAACAATGTTTGCTTATGTAAATGGTTACAAGTTTTATTTATCTCCACCTTGCTGTGACTGGTGTAAATTTCTCCTATTGTGACTACATTTTTATTAACTGCCAGGAGTCTCTGATACAGAAACTCTACAATTTTTTCATTGGTATTTTCCTGTTAATTACAGTTTTCATGCAGTCTGAATTAGCTAAAATAAAACTCCTTTTGCTTCCATCCGCTGACTAATYATGCAAAATAGAATTAGGAGTTTTGCAGTTGATGTTTATGTAGCAGTTTACGCCATGGTCCTAATCAAGCCCATAATTTAGTTTAGGCAGAATTCTGTTGCAGTCTCAGTTCTCTCCTTCCAACACACTCAGCTGTTGCAGTCAAAATAGCTTCATACACATGCCCATGCTTACAGGCACTTTAGTGTCACCTTAGTTTTTGAAAGGGACCCAACAATAACTTATTAATCCTGTGGCCAGTYGATTATAGAAGTTTCTTTGTGATTTCGTGGGGAGCTGAGAGCCAAAGAACACAGCTCCTGAGCAGTGCTCAGCTGCAGAGAGGAGAAGTTGCTCTCAAACAAGTGGCCTGTGTTCCAGGGCCAAATTACTCTTTTTCTACCATTTTGTGATATTTTATATGAAGGATGTTCAAGAATGAAAAAGYTTTTCATTTCTGAAAAGGGCCCCAGTGTTGTGTATTATTATGTGTATTATCATTTAGGATAGGAAAGGCCTAGATGCCTTTCCGAGGGCTTTTGTTCAGTATGTTTTAGTCATGAATCATGTTGCTGGCGGAAATAAAGAAAGAATAACAATATCTTGCTGGAAGAGATTAGTGCTCTTTGTAAAGGCAGTGCTACGTGGCATAGGTGGTTTAATGGATGCAAACAAACGTCCTGAAGTCGTAGTGTAACATCAGCTCRTTTCAAATTCCTTATGATATTGAGAGAAATGGTGAGTAGTGTCGCTGGCATCATTCTATCAAAAGAAGTTGTGTTGCTAGCAATGTGTGTATCKGAATTTCAGAGGTATTTCCTTTTAAACTGGACCCTTGTGGCTCAGGAACATGAGCTGTATGAAAGCTAATTGCTGCTTTTGGGCAATGAGTGTTGCAAGGATGCAGAATGGGTGGCTTATAGAAAGGAAAGAACTAGATTTGAAGCAATTTTGATTTGTTCTTGGGCACAGAAGGCATGATAGGTGTGTACAGAAAATGATGCCTRACATTGATTTTAGCAGCCTAAAGTCTAACTGTGTCAGAGTCTGCAGTTGGGCGCACGGAATTTAAGTCTTTTTAGTTGATTTAATAAGATTTGGATGAACGCTTTAGTGCAGACGACACATCAGCAATATTTAACTTGAGTTCATTTTGCCATCAGTCTGTAGTTTTCTGCAGGAAAAAATCTCAGGACAAAAAACCTTGAGCCAAAAAAGGATCAAATTCAAGATGTGGAAGTACCACTTTATTTTCAAAGTGAACCCTGCAAGCAACATCTCTATACTTCAGATTCATCTACTATAGTCTAAATAAATGTGAGAAAGGACAACAGCTTTTATATTTTAAAAGAGCAACTGTGGAACATGAAAGGAAAATTCTTAATATTCAGTAGCTGGAAAAAGCATGAAATTCAGAAGGACATCTTAGTTATTTGCAGTAAAGAGAATTTGCTCTTTAAAAAGTGAGGTATTTTCTCAAAGACACTTTATGTAAAGTACAGAACTAAAACTTGTAAATAAAGTGATTATAAAATGATTGGAAAGTTTTAAAAGTAGTAACTGCTTTTTGCACAGGTATTTTTGGGAAGATTCTTGGAGGTTTTCACTGTTAAGAGCACTGACTGCTTCTCATTAGTGCTTTTTTATTAAAGGTTTAATATTCACTATTGAAACTAAAAGTCTTCTGTACATTCCCAGCTCTTTACCTGTTTATTTGTAAGTAGCAGGAACTTAGCAGGTAGCTAACACTTACCAAACACTGAGGTTTGTAATGTTTTAATGTTTTTCTAATCTGCAGATGCATTAGGATGAGTCTTAAATTAAGATATTAAAACAATCTCCAAAGATCCTGTCAGGCAGAAATGGCTAATGAAATATCAGACTTAAATTTCATAAGAAAACGTGTAGTACTTAACTTATCTATAGTTTGAAAAATAAGCATTTCATTGAGATCCATGAAATTATTTCCTTTTATCTCTTTAGAGAAATTTAGCTTTCAAAAGCATGCTATCTTATAAAAGACAAGACAGAGATCAACAAAGGTTTTATTCTTAAGAAGTTTATCTAAAACCTTAGCTGCCCCAGTAGTTCAGAAATGCACAGAAACACTTTGCCTTCATTTGTACTGGTGATTTATGAAATAAAGAGACTGCAATTTCAGCTTTAGAAAATAAATATTGAGGTTGTGTCATGTGCCCAGACTCTTTTGATGCATCCATCCACAGCACTTGGGAAGTGGGAATGTTGGAGCTCTGGAGGTCTTCATAAACCCACCTGTGCCCCGTGCTCCGGGTGTCCCTGCTGGAGCGGGGTTGGTCTAGATGGTCTCTAGAGGCCCCTTCCAACCTCAGCCATTCTGTGACTCTGTGATTATTCTAAATGAGGAAAAGCAGAACTGAGCAACTGTGAGTTCTTCTCTCTGCATCATAGATGTATTAAATGTAGCTCCTCTCTGTTAAGTGACAAATAAACAGGACGCCGCCCGTTTCTGGAGCTAGACCAGCCAGGAGCTTTCCTGAATCAGTATATGGAGGGGGAAAAAACATTCCTTTTCCTGCTCTGTTACGAATTCTGGCAATCCCTAAGATCTGGGTGATCTCCTCAGGGTCTGACTTTCGCAGTCATCTTCACGTTTCTGAAGTGAAGGCTGACTAACCTGCAAGAGGTGTAGGATGGAAGCAAAGAATTTTGCGAGAATATTCATGGTGCATGCAGGTATTGCACACCGAAGCTGCAATAGAGGACCTTAAAAAATTATTTTCAGTAGCTCCTTTGCTTTGAAAAATTGTATTTTCTAGTAGCAGCTTAAACTCATCTGCATTTTTTCCCCTCTTRCTATGATTATCATTTAACTGTCCTATATGCTAGCCCAGTATTTGCACGTTCATTGTTTTCGTTAGAACATGAGCCTGTTTGTGCAATTAAGAAGCATTGCAGAGAARAATACTTTTGTGTCTTACAAGATCCAAAATCTATAGAATCATTGGTGTTGTAATTAAAAATCTGCAGAGCTCCAGTAGATCATAGTGACTGATTGAAAAACAAAGAAAAACCCTCAGAATTTCACCTTTTAATCATCTTTAATAATGCAAAACTGATACCTGCTTTGAAAATATGTCTGAGATAATTCAGTAACAAAGGGAGATTGATCTAATATGAGCCTAGTCTAATAACATGAGTTATTAGAATAAGTTCTATTGTTTACACTTGTTTTTTGTTAAAGAAGTTATAAAATTTGAGTTTTATTTTGAGTTGAATAATTCTGTTTAACCTAACRAGAGTGCAGCTTATGTAGTTATTTTGAATATTTTGCGTATTTTTCTGCAAATTTTCTGCAAATTTTTCTGTTTCTTTCTCCAAAACTCTGTRTGTTGTTGATCGTGACATTCCCTATCAACCCTCTTGTCTGCTGTTTAATATTGCCATAGCTTCATTTCTCCAATCTGTTAGCAAAATTTAAGTCCTGTTCCTTGTTCTTCCTGATCACATTGAGCTTTCCATACTGTCCTTGAAAACTGAAGGAGAACGACTTTGACAGAAGTTTGTTCTAGAAGTCTAGTCAACATCAAAACTTTTATGTGTATAAAAACGTCTTTCAATGTGTAACTGATGTTCTTAGGCTAAAAGCATCCTAATTGGGTAAAGTTGTSCTGACAAAGAAAAGTCCATTTCTTGATATTTCTTATTTCTTTAAAAATGTATAACCTACATTTCCAGAATATTATTTTCATTAGAATGATTTGTCATGTTTGTCAATTTTTTATTTTTTTAATAGGACTACAAGAAAGTGTAGATGACTTTCACTGTATGCATTCTATAGGAAACTTATGGATATCTGAAATATATTCAAATGCTGTCTACATCCAGGAATAAATGGAAAATGTATTGATAAGTATTTTTAGTTGCCATCATTGTAAATATTTTAATATTTTGTTTTAGCCTGAAAGTGAAATTTCCACTACAGTAGAAGATTACAGTTCTGAGGTAAGACTTTTCCATTTTGAACTTTCTTTTAACTTTTCTTTTGCATATTTATTGAAATGCTGTAGACTATTTTCAAAGAAAAGGAGAAAATATAAAGTTAATATTGTGGTATAGACATGAAGGTGCTGTCGTTACAGGTATGACTACGGTAATATTAAAGSAAGGATTATGTCCGCAACTTAGTATGACGGCTATTATAATCAACACTTATTGTTCATTAAGGTTGCTAATATAGCAGATTTATGAACTGTCATGACAGTTTCATCATTATGGCTTCAKTAATGCTTTCTGTTGCCGTTGCAGTCCTGGTTGTGCATAATTTCTATTAATTTTCTCTGGAAAATTATTTAACAATTTGATTATCTTAATGAGGAAATAAAAACTGTTCATTCAGGAAAAAAAGTTAATTTTAAATGAGTTTACTGTAGCACTGCATTAGTTCCTCAAATTTTGTAGTAGTTTGTGTTGAGTTTTCTGATACTTGCATARGACTTGCAGCACTGAATGTTGAGCCTGCTAGTTCTCAAGAATTTCCTTTCTCTATTTGAAGTTTTGAATTTGAATTTTAAAATATATATACGTAGTATATATACTCTATATATACATATGTTTATATTCTATATATAAAATACATACAATTTTAAAATTTCAGGACGGACAAATGATTCCATAAACTCTTGCTCCTAGCTGTGCTCTCTTGAACAATTCTTGGGCCTGTTTTCTGGGCATTTATCTCTTATTCTCCYGTTCTTCCCTTCTGCCATTCTTCTCCTCCCTATAACAGCTCCTGTCAGGCGTGGGTTGTCTTAGCTGGGGTAAGATGATAGGGCAGCACTTGCACACGCTTTGCCATTGAGAATGAGACAAATACATATTGGAACAACTGCTGTGATCCGCCTGCAACATTGTTGACTGTGTATCACCAGAGTATGTGATTACTGCTCTATGCAATATATAGTATGTGAAGAATGAACCTTTAGCATTGACAGTGGCATTGGTGTTCATTTCTCTCGTCAAGTAAGAAGTATCATGAGTTATGGCTGGAAATTTTGATTCTGTATAAAGTTGTAAGAAGCACTTTTGGACACCGAGACCCAAATCTCAGAGAAAAGAAAAAAAAAAAAAAAGAATGATTATTTTGTTCACAAGGAGACAAAACACGAAAGATATGACATAATGTCTCATGATATTTGTGTTTCTGATTTTTAGTGTTTTGTTTTGAATTGAAAGCTCTTACTTGAAAATGAGTTTTCACAGCATTCATCTAAGCACTAATTTGATCGAATTTCTACCCTATTTAATCCTCTAGAGATTTCTGTAGATGCCTACAGATTATATTAGGGAACATTCATACTGCAGATGATGAAATTACAGCCAGACTGTTTTCTGAGTGGACTTTTTCAAAGATGCAGATTTTCTAAAATATGCCATGACAGAGCTTGCATTTCTAGATACTACTTTTTCTCATTCCAACRAAAAGAATTTTTCTTTCTCTGAGAATTCTATTTGAAAACGTAAGTGACATCAGGAAACTTTTGAGCAGTAAAACAATACTAGATCAGATGGAGAATAAATGGAAGTGATGCGAGTTTCTGCTTTTCAGTATTTTCTCCTGCGTTAATATTGATTGGTGTCTGCAGTGAGCAAACAACAAATTTAGGAATGCTTGTGTTTTAAGGAATTGCAGTATATTTTATGTTAGCTTGTAAGGCTACTTCTAATAATAAAAGCTTATTCTTGATACCCATCTTATAAGGAATCAGAAGCCTTTTTAATTGAGGAAATTGAGAAGAAATTAAAATTTGCATATATCAACATAATTATTAAATCTTATCAATCTTGAGCTTTTTTTTTGTTTCAGATGTATGAGCTTTGTTTTGAAGGATAAGAAGCYGTGCATTGCACAAACATAGGCCTGTTTGTAGCTTTTTTTCCCCCCTSTTTATAGCAGCTGTATTCTCTTAGAGTTTTTGCAAAAATTAGGCTGTTGCCTTAAGGTGAAAAAGATCATAAATYATTTGTTTCATTATAGTTAGTAAAATAAACCAGATGATTTTAATACATCAGTCCCTTCTCATATCCAATTCATAAGGAATTGAATAAAATGCACAAACAAATATTTCACGTTTTGAGAGACTTATCAGACAAAAGTAAAGATTATAATGTAGTCTAAGTAACATTGAAGGAACCAGTGAATAGCTCTGTCAGGATTCCTGTCTGCTCTATCAGAGATAGTAGGCAACTTGATTAAATCYTTTTTATGACCAGCTTGTTGTTCGTAATAAATTATTTAGTCTGAATAAGCATGCGATCTCCCTACATAGCCTCAGTTAAATGAAGTTAGATAATAATGGCCAGGKTCTGTTTGAGCTTGCAGTTAAAATTCAGAACTAAGGGAAGTTAGACTTTTCCCAATAGTTAGATTTTACTTTTTTATTTAACTTGAGTTACTTAAAGTTGCCTCAAAATATTCCCTATTTTTGCAATATTAACTAAGATGATCATTGCCAGTCTTAAAGAATTTGCAGTATAAGCTCCTGATCTACAAATCTCTCCATTTTTTCATGTTAAATTCTATATGTCAATATTTAGCTTTACCTAAAGATGTTTTTTTCTGATGGATGTAGGTATAATATGTAGAAACGTAAAATAGCCATAATATTTTTAAACCCACCAATTTTTATCTTTCAGTAGTTATTAACCTCAGTTGTATTACCTATGATTATTTTCAATACAATCTGAAAATGTTTTTATAGAGAGAATTTTAAAAACTCTCACTATAACAAGTTGATTTGCCCAGCTTGCTCTGATTGCTAATTTTTTTTTAAGGTTCATACAGTCAATTTTGGCACGACTGGAACTGTAACTTTTTTTTAAAACATAAATTAAGGAAGAAATTTGCTTCCTTCTACATTGCTAATTGAAAATGAGGATTGGCTAGAAGTGGTCATAAGTCAACTGCCAGACAAGGTTAGAGGTATAGATATTAATTTTTCTAGATGAATCCAAGGCCAAAAATTCAAAAAAAAAAAAAAAAGTAGAACATTTTCAGATACTTCTGTGCTTTTAACTAGAATTCTGCTTGCCAGTCTGTATTGATTGTATATATTATAGTTAGACACATTTTTACTGCTATTTCTGAAATACAATTTCAGGTTTTTCAAACCAACCATTAAATGAAAAAAAGAAAAAAGAACCTTACTCAGTAGAAAAGTGCCATAATTTGATAAATTTAAGTCTGACCTCTGGTGGCAATTGCTGTGAATCACTGCCTTAATTTAGTGGTACAAGTTGGTTTTCCTTGTACTTTCTTGGAAGAAACTTAAAGCTTCCACTTGTCTTTAAGGTATATATTTATTGAAGTAATATAAACTCTACCTTTGTTTTTAGATAGAGGTTTTTGTTTTTAGAAAGAAAGCATACTAAAATATATTTTATGTTAGTAAATATTTCTGTGAATTACTGGGAAAATGAAGGAAGAAAAGTCAGAAAGTTAGAACTTCCTGTAAGAGACTTCATAGCCTTCAGTTATATCTTCTGTTCACCTAGTCACTCCCAAGTAGTGAATATGTCATAAAATTGCATTTCTCTTTGCCTTGTGGTTGTTCATTTATGCAGTTATATCCTGACCTCTTGTTACCTGTTCTWTCCGTTATCTTAAAATACTTTCTGACTTGATTGTTTCCGTAAATATTTAATTGTATGCCGAGGCATCTATGCATATTGTTAAGGCATAAGGATGTTTCAGCGTTAAAGGTGAATTGCAAGGCTCTAAAAGAAGAAATTAGAAGATTCTACAACAGTCAGATTTATGGACTTGCAGGAGAGCTCTCTACAGGCAAAACACTGGACCAGGAGAAAAATCATGGAACCTCGTACAGACACCTGTCAATACTATGTTGTTGTCTAATCTTTAAGTATTACACATTAACAAAGGTACAATTAATTTTAAAATTGGGTATTTCAAAGCTAGCCTTCAGACACTGTCATCTGTCTCTGATACATTGATATCAAAGAGCTGGGTTCCTGCCCAGATGAAGGCTGGTTTCCACATTTCCAGACAGTTGCTTTGAGCAAGTATCACAAAATTCCTTCTATAAGGAAAAGGGCTATTTTTTTTAGAAATTTGATGTGCTGAAGGATCTGGACTATCTGGTGAGATAAGGCTTTTATGTTCCCCAGTAGCTCTTGTTCTAATGCATCTAATCTAAGGGAATTCAGTTGGTGCACACAGAAGTGTGTCCAGCGTGGTGGATACAGGAATCATACACTACCTCTTTGTTTATTGATTAAACCTCAGTAAAATGAGAGTTTAAAAGAAAAAAAAAGGCAAAGAATCATTTCACAGTAGAGTTTTTATTAAACTTCTGGTCTTATTAATTGGGGTAAGAGCCAACATCTGAGTAACCCCTTGGTGCCAGGCACTGCATGGATGGCTGAACGTAGAGCCAGCAAGAGGGCAATACGTACACGTACATACATACATGTACAGTGCCTCTGTGAGTTCTCTTGATTAAATTAATGCAATTTTCTTCTTTCTAAAATAGAATATTGATCTCTCAGTGTTGTCTCCCTTTCCATGTGGGGAAGCCTGGAAGTGAAAGAGCAAATTCGGCTCTATAGCAGGTGTATTCATTGTTCAGCACAAGCTCGATGAGTATTGATCCCATTTATGACAGTATGCTTCCATGTGGGGGAACTTATTGATTTGCTCAGACAGGAAAGCCMTTTGTAAAAAGCCCTGGTCTAGTCTATAGCAGGTTCCTGGACAATATTTTTTTCCCCTTCATGTAGAAGACTTCAGTTTAAAATACCATGATGTCTTTCTATCTCCAGGATTATTTTTGACTAAATAATAGTCAAATAATTAAATTTAAATAATAATAAATAAATTTGAATAATTTAAATTTAAAAATTAAAGTCAAATAAATAATTTTGACTAAATAATTTTTGACTGATAATGATAAAGAGCTTGGAGGAGAGATACAAACTGTTCTTGCTTTCTCATTTTAAAAAGCCCATGTGTATGTTATGCCGTAGACTCAGGAGATTATTATTATTATTATTGTTATTATTATTATTATCTTTTTTGTCTCTGACTTTTTATTTTTAGCTACAACTAGTACTTARGCTTGTGCTTACATTTTAGAAAGTGGTCAATGTTGGTGTAAATAGTCTATAGAATCAAAATTCTTTTGGAAGGGGTTGCAGCATTAGGTGAGTGAAAGAAGAAATGGGATTTTTTTTCAAGTATCTTATTTTAAATGTCTATTTTTTGCCTTTTTCACTTTAAGAACTTCCTTTAAATTCCTTCCATGAGATTCTATGGTATTGCCTTTCATTCACTGTAGAATTTGATGTCTAAACTCCAATAAATCTTAGAGTATATGAATATCTTTTTAAAAAGCTTAACTTTGCTTAGTAATATATAGAATTAAACAAATTTTATTAAATTGATTAAATGCAGTACAACATTTTAATCATCTAAGGTATAAAGCTTTGCATAACCTTGAAATCTGAATTCCTTTGTTTCCTGCAGATGTATAATTCCTAATATTTTTTAGTTTTATCACATAGTCTGCTTTTGTAATTTGTATTTTTTAAACCTTTTACCTAGGTTACTTTGATACAAGTTATTCTATGTAAAACTATTTTGTACTTCAAAAGAAATATTTTTTTGTGGCATAAAAAGACCCATAAGTCTACAGAAAGCATCACATAGCATTCAAATGAGCAGAAAGTAGAAATCAGGCTTTATTCTAAATAATAATATATTTAGAAATTGTCTTTGTACAGGTAAATGGTTGCAGTTTTGTGACAAGAACAGCTATACCTACAGGCCTAATCAGGGTATGGTATTGCAAATTCAATCATAACTCGGGGGGTGAATACTAAATACCTTAATATTGAACACTAATGGTGAATACTAAAAACCTTAAGCATTTTGTTCKRAACAGAAACTACCTGGCTGACTAATACCGTATTTTGCATGCTAYGTTCTGCATCCGCATTGCTTATTATATACTAATATASTGTCTCTTGAAGCTTGAATTCCCAAACATTTTACTATTTCTATTAAGGCTGATGTTACAAAGCAGAACTTGCACAAACGCTTTAGATCGGTGCTTTTGAGGTGTGGATTATACTAACAAAGGAGGTTACCATAGCAATAAGATCTCTGATGGTGCATTGTATGCTAATGCTATAATGTGGCARTTGATTCAGATTTTGATATTTGAGTTTACTCATCTTGATAAAATCTAAAAAAAAAAAATGGGATGCTAAGGAACTTGGATTGATTTAGGAAGAAGAATTTGGAGAAATTTGTTCAGAGCATGGAATGCAGCACACWCAGACGCAGCTAGAGGTGATGGAGAATGAATTGGCTGGGAAACAGCAAGAGATTGAAGAGCTAAGCAGAGAGATAGAAGAAATGAGGGCAGCATATGGTACAGAAGGTTTGCAACAGGTATAAATTACCTTATGTTGCTTTCTGCTTGCTACTCGGTTACGTGGAAAAAGCGCCAGAAATTGTTTTCACTTAATGGAAGCTGTTCAGAATGCAGTCAGTGTGTGAATATACAGAATTACACATAMAGAATTATACCATTATACATGATCTCTTTTAATCACTACCATGAGCTCTGTACTTCCCATGTGTGTCATTTTGTTTTGTGACTAAATTTCAGGCTTCATTGCAGTGAATTTATTCTAATCAGGAATGGAAAAATAATTTTCTTCAAGAAAGTGCAGATTCTTCTCCAAGTGTGCAAAGACTGCACATCTTTAAAACCTTGTGCCTCAGAAATGAAACAGAATCAGCTTTTACTTCATAAAAAAAGAAATTACTAAGTTGGTCCATGAATCAAAGCAGTATTTACACATCAGGCTCCACAGTCTGAAATCACAGGCAACTAAGTGGGGAGGTTTTAATAATTTATGATTGCAGAAAAGCTTTTATTAGTTTGTTGGTTTGGTTTTTTATTTTATTAGAAATACCACTTCAATATGTGGTTAGGTTTTAAAGTATAGAATAATTTWAAAAAATTTTTTTTTCTAGTATAAGCAGATGCTACGAAGCTCGAGTTCAGTTCCTTATTATGCTTCGTGTCTTGCTCATCTTCTTTGCTGTAATTTGGATTCAGGCCACATCACTGTGCGTTTTTCTTTGTTTTGCAAGATACAATTGTTTGCAAGGAACATTGTTTTAAGTTCATTCATTTTCACCTTCATTAATACTTAACATGAATACTTTTCTTTTTTTGGTGATTTCATTTTTATTTTGTCTGTGAAAATGGATGTTATGTATTCTGCCACACCAGAGTGACCTTTAAGTAGTTGTTCTGGAGCATAAAACGCTTTATCATTGCTTTGTCTATTGATGCATCCCTAGCGTTGCATTTTAAGTCAATCTTAGCTTCTCATTACTGAATCTTCTGTTGTTCATGCTGAACAAAATAGTTGTAGCATAATAAAGAATATAACTATAATTCTATCACAGTCATGACTAATTTTTTTCTGAAAAAGCTAAAAGTAAACAAATTTGGTATTTAAACTGCTATGAATGCTATTTTAAAAATAAATGAAAATAGTATTAAGATAAACTGTGGTGTCATAATGTTTTAAATAATTCTTAGTTGCATATATTTTATATGTTTATAGTACAGGACATTTACTTTGAGAAGTACATATGGTTTATTTTTCAGACGAATCAAAAGTTTTGTAAGGGAGAGAGGTGCTGAAAGTGAGTGCTGGTTTGTCACAGAAAAAGACTGATTTGAAAAGCTGATAATGATGATACAATAATGTATGTATTTGAACAGATAAATCTACTTATTTAATTTCGTTGAATAGAGGCAAGAGGAAAGGTTTGGTGCACTTAAGTGTCTAATCTGTTGCTGTATTTTTGTTAATACAAGCATCTAGTAATTTATTTTCTTTCTACTAGATACTAGATTTTTTTTAAATGGGAAATAATTTTGGTGTTCTAAAAAGAACTTTAATTTCCTCAAATTCCTTGCATAGTTTGGCTTGTTTAAAATGCCTTTTAATACATATAAATGTATACAGTACTGAATAATATTCCTGTTCAGTAAAAGAATAATCTTTATGGGGAAGCATTATAATTTTACTTCGAGAGTCAGCATRTAACCTGGAGAAATTTCTTTTTTAGGGACACTCTAAATAATACAGCTTGTACGTTGCAGAAGTTACTCCGGAATATAGTTACAGAAGATGATTAATGATTCGAGGAACACATCATATGTGGAAACATTGTGTTTTTTGAATTTTTTTCTAGTCCTTAATGAGAATGAGTTCAAATCAACAATATTTAAAGTAAATAATGCTTTTATTTCATATGAAGTATAATCCCAAATAAAGTTGTGGGATTTCTGCTTGCCTGAATGTAATTGTATGAAATTTGTACAAAAACTAACACAAGTGCAAAGGATTTTTTTCTGTTTTTTAATCATTTTTTTCCTTATTATAAAATGAGATTCATCAAAATAAGYACACTCTACTGCTCTTGCAGTTTGAACTTTTCTCATGCAGTTTTTCAGAGAGAATTTATTGGATTCACAGAGCAAGGTACTAGGTTAGCTACTTATATGTTTTTAGTACAATGAGTGCTTTTTATCCCACTTTCAGCGAGAGTGACATAACTTGCATTTATTGTCAGAGAAGTCTGTGGTTATTGGTAATTGCCACAGAGCAACTGTAAGTGTACTGTAAGTAGAAACCCTGTCTTGTTTTATGCTGGTTTGTTTATATGGCTGTGCTTTTTAGTTCTAAGTACAAATTCTGTATTGTGCAAATTCAACATTCCTATTGTGTTTTAATAAGTATATGTTACAGAGAGCTCATACATTGTTCAATGATATAAAAAAAGATCTGTAAAAACAACTTGTAAAAACATAAATGCTCCAACAGATTTGTGTAAAGTCTTTTGAATACAGGAGAGGGTKGGCAAGATACTTAGCTGGAATAAATTAATAAGATTTTCTGCCTGTAGTTTTGATGCTCACTAAGAGTTTGCATTTCATTTCATTTTCTTTCATAGCTGCAAGAATTTGAAGCTGCTATCAAAAAAAGAGATGACATTATCACCCAGCTCACTACTAATCTACAACAGGCCCGGAAAGAAAAGGATGAAACTATGAGGGAATTTTTAGAGCTTACTGAACAAAGTCAAAAATTGCAAATTCAATTTCAGCATGTAAGTCATAATGCCAGCAGTATTTTTTCAGGCTTGAAACCTCAGGGCACTTCTGAGGGTCCTCAATGATTATCTTGTGTAGAAATACACAATTTGATGTGTTTTTGAATAGTTGGTACCTTGGTATAGATCTGGAGTCAATTCTCCTACATTTATCATTAAAGCACCTAGTTTCTTGTACTACATCATTTTAAATTATTAAAAAAAATGTTTTCTTTGTAGTATATGGGTAAGAAAATATATGGGAAAGTATACAGCTGCTGATAAATACTAGATGATGCCAGTTGTTTTGGGAGGAGGAAGAAAGTTTGTGTGTAATTACTGTTGTGAAAGGTTGGGGTGAAATCCATCCTGTTCTCTTTGCAGTCAAAATAGACATTCGGTTTTCTGGGCCACTATTTCATGTTCCACTTCTAGATTTTTGGATAAACTTTGCTTCTTGTGGTATTTTTGTGGTATTATTAAACAGTAATTTAACAACAAAATSAAGTTTCATCAATGTTTGAAAAAGCACTGATGCTCCAGATACCATGGAGACTTGTATTTTATGTGACTGCAGCTTGTTCTCATTCAGTATTTTAGTATTTTGTGCTGTTTAATTACTTCATACAGCTTTTATGGGCTTTTTTTTCTGAGATTATGAGGTGATTTTGTGTTATAGATGCCTTATAGCATCTATGAATGAATCTATGAGTGAATCTATAGCATGATGAATGTTCATTTCAGGGACAGTAATTACAGCTAGTTCATTTTAAAGCTTTGAGATTTTTCTGAGACCCTGCTTCCATGTACTAGATGATCATAAAAGGTTTAATGCAAAATATTTTCTRTTGGGTGGATTTTCCAACAAGATGAACCTATTTCTGATGCTTCTGAAAGAGCTACTAAGCCTTTCTAATAGACTTTGCGTTCTTAATATGGAACAAGAAGGTAGAGATCACAACTGTCTCTTTCTGTGGTACAAGCTGTTTCTGAAAGTGATGTATTTTTACTTTTTTTTTTTTTTTTTTTTTTAAATATACAAGCTACAGGCAAGTGAAGCTCTAAGGAATTCCAGCCATAGTTGCACAGCTGCTGATTTATTGCAAGCTAAACAGCAGATCCTTTCACATCAGCAACAGCTAGAAGAACAAGAATGCCTGCTGAAGAATTATCAGAAAAAGAATGAAGAATTGGAAGCACAGAGTAGACATCTTCAGGACAAAGTCACAACATATGAAATGGTACATTTCGTACTAGAAAAGTCTCTTTTCCTAAACTTTTGTTCTTTCAAAATTTTTGTAATTTCTTTGAAACTTAAGGAGTAAAGCAGTGGTGATTGGTGTTTTGCATGTACTGCATAATTTTATTTATTTATTTGTATTTTAAATATATCTGTTGTATTTAATACACTAACACGTATGTACCTAGTTTGGAGCTGAGCTGCTTATGTCAATATTGTATATCATGATTACAAGTATTGCAGAATTACTCAAGGAACGAAGTGTATAGTATRCTAAATACAACTGTGGAATGAGGATGCCTTTATTAAATATCAGCCTATCAGAATTTGCTTAAGCAATCCCTCAGTCCTTTCTCTCTTAAGGAAAGAGTGCTGTCACTACTCAGCGAGTATTTCCCTTCATGGAAAACATCTTGAAGTAGCCCTAAAAAAAAAAAGGGCACGGGGAATTGTATGTCATTAAAAGTGACATAAAGCAAAGTTTTCAGGTAATTTCAYTAAATGTTTTTCAGTATCAGAGCCCATCAGTAAAAGAAACCTTTTTTTCCCCTCTCTTTTTTTGGATTTTCACTTATCCCAAATGTATCAAAAAGTTCCAAAGTAAGCAACAAATAACTTAGATTTGTTTTTATAAATGGCCTGTATGTTTTAAAGAAAGGCATCTTGTTTAAATAGGTAAGTATATAATATTCTAATACATTCAAATAATGAACTAAAAATAAGAATGTGTCTTTGCTTATTTTTAAAGGGAAAACACAAAAATGAAGAAGAAGATTCAAGTAAACTGAAAGAAAAAGAAGCTTTAATTGAAGAGCTRGAAGCAAAACTTGGAGACGAGGAAAGAAATTCATCTCAGCTTATGGAAAAATTATCAGATGCCACCAAATCCCTTGAAGAATTAAAAGAACAGAATTTAGTAAAGACGCAGGAGATAAATAATATGAGAGTTGAACTTACCACCTACAAACAGAAAGAAAGACAATGTTCTGATGAGATAAAACAATTAATGGGAACTGTGGAAGAGCTGCAGAAACGATGTTACAAAGACAGTCAGTTTGAAAGTGACATTGTGCAAAGGATGGAGCTGGAAACGCAGCGGAGACTGGCACAACTTCAGGCTGAATTAGACGAAATGCATGGCCAACAGATTGTACAAATGAAGCAGGAATTAATTAAGCAACATTCCATAGAAATAGAACGTCTTTCTCAACAAAAAGTAGAACTGGAAAAAATATCAAGTTTGTGTTCAGATGACAGTGTTAATAAAGATCAAATACATTTAATGAATATTAAAATTAAGGAATTGAATGTGAAATTGCAAGATGCTGATAATGAGAAGGAAAAAATAAAGCAAGAATTGTCACAACAGATGTCTCTTCAGCATACTAAAATGGAAGATCTTCTCCAAGAATTGAATTTTTCCAGGGATCAAGTCCAGAGAGCCAAGCAAACTATAATGGATATGGAATGTAGATTAAATGAAGCTGAAAAATAYGATTTTGTCATTGAGGACTTAAAAACTCAACTTGCTTCTGCTTCTGAATTGAGGAAGGAATTAGAATTAAAACATGAAGCAGAAGTCACAAATTACAAAATAAAACTTGAAATGCTAGAAAGGGAGAAGGATGCAGTTTTGGACAGGATGGCTGAGTCTCAAGAAGCTGAATTAGAGAGACTGAGGACACAGCTTCTCTTTAGTCACGAAGAAGAGCTGTCCAGACTTAGAGAAGACTTGCAAAAAGAGCACATGGTAAGCCTGGAAAGCCTGAAAGATAACTTGAATATACAGTATAAACAGCAGTTAGATGGGGTAYGGAATGAAATGACTCAAAAGATAGAGGCCATTCAGTTTGAAAAGGACAACTTAATCACAGAGCAAAATCATTTGATATTAGAGATTTCAAAGCTAAAAGATTTACAGCAGTCTATYGTAAATTCTAAATCTGAAGAAATGACTCTTCAGATTCATGAACTGCAGAAGGAGATTGAAGTACTTAGGCAAGAAGAAAAAGAAAAAGGTACCCTTGAACAAGAAGTTCAAGAGTTGCAGCGTAAAACTCAGTTGATGCAGAAACAAATGCAGGAGAGAGAAGATAGCCTTCAAGAAAGATGTTCAGAACTTGCAGCACTAAATAACCTTCTTAAAGGTGAAAACAAAACTCTGGAAGATAAATTAAAACATATGATGGTTAACTCTGAAGAAAACAGCATTTTCAAAGATGCTGTTAGTTCCAAGTCAGAAAATCTCGTCTTACAAGAAAGAATAGAAGAGGTGATTAACACAAATGAGCAGCTTATAAAACAAAACAGTCAACTCAAAGAGGAGTTTGAAAGGCAGAAAAATGCCTTCTTGTTTACTGAGAAAAACCTTGAAGCTAAATGTAAAGAGCTGCAGAAAGAGTGTGCCAGCCTGCAGAAGACAAAAGCTGATTTAGAAGAGAACAAGAACAAGCAGGAAGTTGAGTATAAAATCAAACTCAAAACTCTGACTGAAGAAGTTCAACGCTTGCAAAGCAATAGACCAGTTTTATTTAAAACCCAAGCTTCTAGTTTGGAAGATAGTAAAGAAAATAGGGCAGACACATTTGAAGTTCGGGAAGTTGTTGAGAAAGATGCAACAGAGCTTATGGAAAAGCTTGAGGTGGTTCAGCGTGAGAAGCTGGAGTTATCCCTGAGACTTTCGGAGCTTTCTGAACAGCTGAAGTCAAAGCACAGTGAAATTTGTCGATTAAATGAAAAAGTTAAATCCCTAAAACATGAGAAAGAACAAGTTTTAGCAAAATGTAAAGAACTGGAAGCCACAATCAGTCACACTCGGAAAGGATTTACTGGTGCTACTGGACGTAAGGCAAAATGCTCTAAAGGAAAAGCTCTGAAGGCTGCTAATGCAGCACCTGAAGGTAGAAATACCACATCCAGCCCAAGCAATAAAGCTGATGAAGCAGTAAATGTATCAGGCAATCCCCGCTCAGATAAAGCTTTCAGTCATCACACAGCAAAAGGGAAAGAAGTTCAGCCTTTGCTGAAAGCAGAACAGCCTCTGGTAGAACATTTGCATGAGGTGACAGATGGACCGACCAGCAAAACATTGTCAGGGGCAGGTGCACAATGTGAAAATAATCAGCTCCAGCAGCAAGTGGATACACTCAAGTCAGAACAGGTATGTTGTATAAAGCTGTGAAAACTTGTATGGAGCCACATATGTAGACATCTGTGGAATATTTGACCACTTAGCTGTTTTGGAGCATGTGTGCATGCTCAGGTGAGTGGGGCTGCTAGGTGGAAGTGGCAACAAGACTGCTGAGGATTATAACCATAGCCAGTATATTACATATTATATTAGTATATTAGCCAGTCATTACAGTTATAGCCAATAGCAAGGATGCTGTTTTTCATTGTAAAAAATATGCTAGTACAGTTAATTAAAACAGCAACAACAACAAAAGTGGGGAGGAGAAGGCCTAGCACTTCACATTTTGGTAGAATGTTTATCTTAATTAGAAAAGGTTCACACTTTTGTCTGTGATTAACTAGGTGTTGAATTATTGGTGTATATAAAGAAGTGCTAGAATCAGAACTCTTAATTTGAATTTATATACAGTCATACAATTGAAGAGTATGCTACAGAACACACACAATTAAGTGATGTTTTGGTGATGGTGTGTGTTGTTGTTGTTGTTGTTGTTGTTGTTGTTGGTTTTGTAAAAATAGATGTAAGCCACTCTTTTACTATTTTATATGTATTTCAAATTATAAAAATCCTCCCAGGAATGAACTAGCACCAGCATTGCCTAAATTTATGTTGTCCTGTAGTCTATTCATTTTCTAAGGAGTAAAAGCTATATTGGAAACAGCTGTGAGATTATACAAAAATGCTCCTAATTGTCTAATATATCTATTTATAACAATGTGATAAGGGTCCTGTGATTGCCTTCTGAAGGAAGTAAAACCATAGTGGTCCAAAAGTGCCTAAAACTTGGACTTTACATTATCTCAGTATTAACTAAYCCTGAACATGTTTCCTTTGGCAATAACATCCTCAAAGGTGCAGAGTAGAACTGCAAGCATTGGTTATGAATTAAGGCTTATTCAGGTCTGCTAACAGTAGTCTTTTGGTCTGTACATACAGYGCATTTTTTTCTTCTTGCTTCATTAGTTGCAACTCTCTCTTCATTAGAAGTAAAATTCAGTGTTTTTTATTGCTGCAAAATATGTCTTGCCTCTTACTTTAAACCTGGCTGTCCCTAAATACTTAGAGATTGGCCTCCGTCCACCTTGTGATTACTGTGTATAAATGATCTTTTTTTGTGTGTGTGTGGTATTATTGTGATTTTTGTTTTAATTTGTCCATATTCATAGATGGATCTAATTAGCCTAGCGACCTGTGACCCCATTGGTGCCCATAGTTTTAGCTCTCTCCACTGTTCAGTTCACTGAAGAAAGCATATTTTGAGTTTTGATACTGGATTTTAGTTTGTTTTTTATTTTAAACTGAAGAACCCTCAACAAATATTTTATAATTCAAGTTTCTCACATGAATATTTGTATTTATGTATTTTTTATATGCCACATTTGTAGTATTTTGTTGCATGCATTTWTTATTAATTTTGAAAATGAGTGAAGTTGAGTGTCCTTTTCTTTTCTCTAACCCTTCATAAAATGTGTGTTTCTATTCCAAGACTGATTTACAGCTGCAGATGGAAGCGCAGCGCATCTGCCTGTCCCTGGTTTATTCCACTCATGTCGACCAGGTTCGTGAATCCATGAAGGCAGAGAAGGAGACTGCGCTTTGCAGTCTTAAGGAGGAACTTGCACAAAGTCATCAACAAGAGATGAATGATCTTAAAAAAATGCATCAGCTRGAGCTCCAGACCTTGCAAATTCAACATGCAGGTAACTTGCCAAAAACTATAAAAGTAAAGCTCTTGATGTGAAAAGTAGATAGTGTCTTCAAAAGAAAATAAGCACAAGCACTTGGGGAGAAGGCATATGTAGGTTATAACAAGCTATTTTTAAAGAACCTTTATTCATGGCTACTTCCATACTATAGGTACTCTATTACTGTGGTTACTTTAGGAAGGAAAGAGTAGCAGAACTCATGTTTTGTTATTTGTATCAGGTCAATTAATTGTAAAGAGCAGTATAATAGATATATTCCTTACAAAATACTAGGCAGATCTAACAGCAAAATATCTGTGGTCTTGTTTCATTCTCTGTTTCCTGAATTCCAACACTGGCTTCTGTCCACATTAAATAAGCTTCTTTGCTACCACTTTCAAGAGTATTGTTCTGTGCTTTTCTGCCTTTGTGAGCTTTTATGTTATCATACTGCTTTTTGGTCCATATTTTTTTGGTCTGCTTTTGGTCTGCCCTTCTGCATTTTTTTCTTGTCATAAGAATTTTCTGGCCCTCCAGAATGTTGGATGAAAATTAGATCTTTCCAGAGCTCACTGGCATGTGAATGCTTTTCTTATACCTTATTCCTCTCGAGCACACAATTTTACCATAATAATTGAATATATCTTTGAGATGAAACAAAAAGGATGTATGCCCTCCTAAAATCTGAGGAGTTGACTTCAGTGAGACAGGAAACTACACCTTGTAATCTATGGGAAAAGTGTTGTGCATATAGCATTAAAAATAATATGAATGATTTGTATTCATAGATGATGAAGTCAAATCCACACAAAGACTTATAGAAAAGCTAAGTGAAGCAGTATCTGAGGAATGTTCTAGGCTCACTCAGGTAAGACTTAGCAAAAAGCCCTTTTTAAGTGAAACTTTTGAAGAACTGTAAATGAAAAATTATGTGTCTGGTGAGTCATTCTGCTTTTCCACACCATCCTTTCTCTTTGCGTAGAATCTGATCTTCCAAATTATGTTTTCAAAGGTTTGGTTATTTGTTTGTTTTATATCCTTGTCCAGACAATTCTTCAGCCTTACAACTAGTCTGCTAGTTCTAAAGTATTTTTACCTTTGTGTATGTCTCTGGCCATAAGTTCTTGATTATATAGTGGTCTGATGTCACACACTCATTGAGCCAAAGGACATCACCTCATTTCTGCAGTAAGACAATCATTTCTTTCTTAGTTGCACACTATCTTTCTAAGACTTAAAACAGTTGGGAATCCAGCGACATACCTATATCTGGTGTTTTTCAGGAACTGTGAATATCCTGGTCAACATTTGAACCTTATTATTAGTCTGTATCCTAATGTGAGCCACTAGGAATATTATTTTGACATCTCTTTTTATATAGACTCAAAAGCATTTGTAATCTCTTGCCCTTACATGTTCTTTCTGACCAACAATTAACTCATTAAATTTTGAATAAATCAAGCTGTTCTTATTCATTATAAGCCGTGATCTGATCTTTAAGATTTCCTATAGGATTTATTTTTGCTGGGGCCAGCTTCCAGTTTTTCAGTGTCATTTGGCCATGTGAATGCCAGAACTGTTTTACTTCAGAGCCAGCACAGGGGACAATAAGCTGGAGTGTAGAAAAGGACACAGACAGTATCAGCTGAATCAAGTGGTTGGCATTAGTTGTTTCAGAGCCGGAGTGAACTGTGCCTGACTGTACAATTTCATGTTAAGCTTGAGGAGAAATCATTTTATTCTTCTAAATCAAGTGTAGAGTCTGAATCTAAAATGTTTAGACAAAGAGTCACTGTGTTCCCTGGGCAGGACAAGTTTCTTTGTAAATATTATGTCTTCAGAAAGCAAATGAATGAATTTCCTGTTAGTCTGCTCACTAAAAATGGTAGTTACTCTGATGGCCACCTAGCAGCAATGAACATGAGCCACTGAGATTATTATTTCCTTGCATTTTTACTGCCATCCCCTTTTTTTTCTATTCGTTGAAAACTTAAGAACAAGGTAAGTAGTAATCTCTAAAAAGAACTGAATTTCCACTGTAGAAAATATTTCCCCAAGTAAAATTGCAGCTAATCAGAGTGAGACATTTACAATATATTCAGCAGTAATTAATAAAGGAAGCCTTATTCTGCAAAATTTTAGCGTTTGGTAATGGCAAATTAAATGTCCATGCGAAATATACGTATTTTTGTTTTATCTGAAAGTTTTCCCTATGCTTGTTTCTTTTATCAGGAATTTTAAAGGTTCTCTAATATCTTCATGACTTAACAGAACATTTAAATCATTATGTCTACAGAAAATAATATCACAAAATGCCTTTTCTTTATTGTATAATGTGTTCTCTATATGTATCATCTGTATAACAGAATTATTTCTATTTCCTCTGTCACTGGTACATTAATAAATAATTTTTCTTCATCTTGCTTTGCCATGCAGCTTCTRTATCATAATCAGAATGAACCGTCTTCAGCTGCTGTAGAATTTGATGATAAGGAACAGGATATCTTCCATATTCCTACTGATGAGATAGAAAAATTGAATGTAGAATTGCCAACACACAGAGATCAAGCTCAGGGTAATGGCCTTGTACTGTCATACCAGTAGAAAAACATATATATATGGGGCGGGGGTTATGCCTCTATTGTTGATTTCAAGTATGTCAAATTGGCAACTATTGTTATATCACTTACAATCATCTGATGATTTTTCACTTTTGAGTGAAAAAGTTGTGAACAATTCATTTTATTAAAAATGCTGTATAGTGCTTATAAATTTCTTTTAACGAAGAAGTATTTTTTGTGTAATTTAGCTATGCAAGAACACATGAATGCTCTTCTGCACAAGATAAAGGAAGAATACAACAGGCTGACAGCGCTTCAGACACATTTGATGAAGGATTGTAAACAGGTAAGCTTTTGATAGCAACTCCTATAAAATACAAGTGCTTGTAAACTTTCTCTGTTGCATGAATTCCTTCTGGATCAGGGAGAGAAAGCATTCACATCAGTATTTATGTATCCTGGTTGAGTGGTGTAGGAAGTTGATGATTAAGAAGACGAGAGAAGGGTTAGCTAAAACAGGCTGCTTAGGACTGTATCTAGTCAGGTTTTGAATATCTGCAAGGAGTGAGACACCACAACATCTGTGAGCAGCCTGTTGGCAGTGATTGACCATATTTTTCTCATGTTTTCATGGGAGTTCCTGTATTTTAGTAGTACATATTGTCTCTTGTCTCTGGGCATCACTAAGAAGAATATGGTTTTGTCGTCTTCACTCCCCCATCAGGTATTTACATATTGATAAGATCAATAATAAGCTTTCTCCTGCTTAAAAAAAATTTGTCTCTCTCCATCATTTGAGAGAGATTCCAGTCCCTTAATCATGTTTGTGGCCCTTCACTGGACTCCAGTGTCCATATCTTATGCTGAGGTACCCAGGATTGGGCACAGCTCTCTGGATGCAATCTCAACCGTGCTGGATAGAGGAGAAGGATCCTCTGCCTCAGCCTATTGGCAGTTGTTCTTCCTAAAGCAGCCAAGGCACTTGGCTGGCCCATATTTAACTTGTTTTCCAGGATCCGAAATCTTTTCCTGCAAAGCTGCTTTCCAGCTGCTTGCCCCCAGCACGTGCTGGTGTTTRGGGTTATTTCTTCAAAGGTGCAGGACCCCTCATTTCCCTCATGAGGCTGCTATATGCCCATTTCTCCAGACTGCTGAGGTCTGCTGAAAGTTAAACCATGTGGTGTATCAGTCAGTCTGCCCAATTTYCCATCATCTGCAGACCTGCGGAGGATGCACTTGTTCAGGTCATTAATGAAAATGTTAAACATTCTCTTTTTGTTGTCAAGTATTTACTTGATGATTTTTTTTTAGGTCAAAGAGCCATGGATGTCATCTTCTGAACCTGAGTGGGGGAGAGAACAGGAAACTAATAGTCTGGAGACAAGAAAAGAATGTCTGCAAACCACTTCACAGGAACTAATGGGTAAAAAGATGTATATGTTTTTCCAATATATTTATATAGAGAAAGACAGTGACTTTAAATTTAAACAGTTTCTTATATTGTGACCTGAAGCACATGAGAGATTTTTTAATAGATTTTACAATGTGATACAGTGATTGTCTTAAATCTCTAAAATACTTTGAAATTATATTCCCTGAAGGAGTTTTAATTTAATGCTGTACAGTTTTCTATGGTTAGTTACATATGTCCAGTAACAGAAGAGGAAGATTTTATTTTATTTTGCAAGAGAGAAGACTAGATCAGAATTATTTTCTACGGGAAAATAACTGATAAGATGTTGAAAGAATTTTTAAAACTACAGTATTATTCAGTTACATCACTGCTGTTAACTTGGGGAGRGTGGAGGAAAGCAAGAGTAATATAATTGATAATCTTTTCTGCTTTCTTCCCTTGTTAAATAACTTGCATGTAGATCCTAAGATTCAAGAATACCTTTGGAGGGAGATAGAAAAACTTAAAACGCAGCTTGAAGAAAAACATGCTCATGAAGTGCAGCGCCTGCAGTCCTATTTTCAGCAGCAGCTAAAAGAAAGCAGAGAAAGGTACAGTGTTCTAAACCACATACTGGATACAAACAGAAGTGTTTCAAATAGCCATTATGTATGTTATGTATGTTTTAATTCAAAGTTTGAAAAAACTCTTATACTACTCTTGGGTTGTTTTGTTGCTGCAAGAGATGTTAAATCTCTTACCAAGAAATGGCATAAAGGTTGCAAACTAAGGAGTGCAACATTTAGAATTATGAAATGTGCAACATGCATATTGTAGTATGATGCTTCTCCTCAGTTTGATCACAGTTCTGGAAAGCATGGAAAGTGACAAGTTCAGTAACTAGCTCATCTGTTCTCCTATTAGCAGTCCAGATTCTGCAAATGTTTACACATCTTCAAGACAGACACTATAGACACATGCTCTTATTTGCCTGAGTTCATCCTTTAGGAATGTGCTGTAAAAAAAAAAATTACAAACTGTAAGCATTTTCAAAATGCCTTTTTTGACACTGCATACTACAGAATTTGTATTGATCAGGACAAGTTGCAAGTCCTTTTTTTTTTTTTTTTAAATTTCTGGAAATTATTTTATATATCTTAAACATTTTTTGAAAGATGTTAGCTTTCTGATTTCATCCATAACAGCTATTCAACTAAAATGCCCAAAATTCATCTTATGTATATTTAATAAGCATCTGATATAGGTGTCTCTGCTTGAGCAGGTGAGTTGGACTAGATGATATCTAGAGGTCTCTTCCAATCTCAATCTGTGATTTAGGGTGATTGACAGTATTTATGATAATAAACTACTGGTGTATAGCAAAAAAAGTCCCATTAAGAGTTACCTTTTTTTCTTATATTATTCCTAAATATGTCAAAATGTAAAACGTAAATATATCCTACTATAAAATGAATCATAAAGGTTTTCTTAATATTTTCATGTGTATGCCTTTTCTTAATGAGTCAATACAAGGAATTGTCAATATCTACAGAAAAGCAACAATTTAAAAGAATCTAAATAAATGTAAACAATGGATTTATTGCTCTGTAAAGCCCTTTTAGTTTTTCCCATATTCTTACCATTCAAACAGGTCCTATAGTCTTCATCTTAATTTTGTAGCGTTACTGAGCACAAAGGATTCTCAAGTAGCTTTAAAAGACTAGTTATTTTTGAGGTCAAGTCTACAAAACTGCTGTTAAGGAGTGTTATGTTGATAGAAAACTCAAGTGTCTGGAAGGCAGATGCATTAGAGTCATCTGTAGGCAAAGGTACTTTGTGAAGTAAATGTTTATAATTGCTGTTCTTTGAAAAATTATATTCATATATGAACAAAGGAAAATATTTTGAAGCATTGATTTTTTCCTCCCTTCTGTCTTTTTAGTGGATCCTCAGATTCACAAGTAAAACGAAAAGAAACCTTCAGGAGAGTAAAACATGGTGAAAATCTTCATCAGCAAAGAACAGAAGTGTCTGCAGAGGTATCATAAAGCAGCTGGGGTATAATGTGCTTTTAAAGTACACACTGTTGTTTGATTTTTTTGAGATTTCCTGTTTTTCTTACAGCTTGCTAATGAAATTGAAATGCAGAATGATCTGGATGTTGTTCAACTGCTAGAAAAACAGTACCAAGAAAGATTAGAAGAAGAAATAGCAAAGGTATTACTTTTATTTTGTTGTTTTAAAATATGCTTTAGAAGTGACTATTTTTTGTTGTTTCTAACAATTTGGACTGTTGTAATACCATACTATAACTTCTGTTTGATTTATTTATGGGAATTCTCCCTTTCTCATGCTGAACATGAGAATCTCTTCATAAATTTTTTGGTAAAACATTTCAGGCTTTTTAGTTGTGTGATAGATTCTCATGCTTATAGTGCTCATAATTTCATATCTCTATAGTTCTTCACAATAKTTTATAATCAACTCACTTTTTTTTTGTTGATGGTGGTGCTTTTTTTTATTTTGGAGTTGAGGAGAAACACTGTGAGCACAGATGTTATGTTGCTTTGAAACTTCAAAGAAAACAGATACCATGCATGCTAGAGAGTAAATTTCTTGCTACTGTAGGCTCAACAGCTGGTGTGTATAAAAGTTTCATATTATATTTTCTGATGATATTTTATTATGCGTTTTTATRTATTTTATAAAATGTATGACTTCTGTTTGGATCTGGTGACTTTCAGTGAAACATGAGAAGTAAGATTAGATTTTATAGAATGTATTAAATCATTCATCTGTTGATGAGATTGGCTATCTTCTTTCTTTTAATTTACTGTTCCTTTCTGCAAAAATTGGTAGAGTCATAGTTTAGAGCATGTATTACTGATGGTAAGGAATGAAAATTCTTCAGCAACAGCAGGCACTGATTTATTATTTTCTTCTTTATTCAGGTTATTGTGTCGATGAGTGTAGCATTTGCACAACAGACTGAGCTGTCAAGAATTACTGGGCAGAAGGAGGAAACACACACACAGACTGTTCATCAACTGGGAAAGCATCTTGAAGCTAAAAAGCAAGACAAAGAAGAAGCAGACAGCCCTTTCAGAAAGGCAACAAAAATGGGCAGTAAGCATGAAGAAGAATCRAAATCACTTTGCAAGGAACTCAGTGAAGAGCCTGATGGCTCTTCACTTGGAGAGCAGCTGGATTCTAGTAACAGGCCCAGTTACTTGTTAGGAGAGACTGCAYGTGAAATGGTTATTTCTGAACAGGTTTTCCCTCAGGTCAAAGAACTTACAGTGGAAGAAGCTCTGGTAAGTGTTAAAATATATATATGGTGTGATATAGCATATTTGAATAATGTTTCCAGTATGCTTACATATCACTTGAATATAATAAAATAAAATTAAAAAAAMCTAAGATATAACTTCCCTTAAAATATTTYCCTTTAAACACCTGTCTTTTTTTTTTCCCCTATGTTCCATCTGAGTGTCATAGCATTTTGCTAATAAATGAGAAAGGAATATAACAGAAATTATAGGGAGACAGATTGTTTCATTTTTATGGAAAAAAAAAGTCAGATATGGTAAAAAATAACCATAAGTTTTGACGACACAGTTTGATACTTCTGTTTTTCATTAATTTTGCCACTGAGGCAAAAGTCTCACTTTCAAACTTGTCTAACAGTTAAATATTATGATCCTGTGTTGTCTTGATAATGGATAAACTGCTGTGTTCCTGCTTTCTGTGGCAGTGTTATCTTAAACTTCTGCTGTACTCCACATACACCACACACACACAGTCGCTCACTCACACAGATGTATGTTTACTGAAAAATAATTCTGTTGAGATCCCTGCTAGCTCAAAAGAATTACTTAACACTATTCACAGTTAACAGAAAGATGCTCTGTCTTCCAAGYGGGAATAAGTGAAAGCCTGGGCCTTCTGACACACAGGCAACAGGATAATGCTTTAGTAATACTGCTGTAATTTTTGAAAAAAATGGAAATGTGTAATTAGATTATTTTGTAGGAAATGTTCTTGAACATCAAATGCTAAAGTGGTTCCAATATTTCAGTGCTTTGGTGAGAAGGCCACAGAAACCTCCAGCCAGCTGCTGCTGTACGAGGAGCGTTTGGAAGACATGCGGCAGGAACTGGTGCGGCAGTATCAGGAGCATCAGCAGGCCACAGAGCTGCTGAGACAAGGCCACATGCAGCAAATGGAGCGTCAGAAGGAAGATCAAGACCAGCTCTTAGCAGAGCTTGAGTGTCTGAAAATGCAGTTAGCTGAGGTAAAATGGGGTTCAACACAAGAGGGGCAATGTAAACATGGGTTAACAAAGAGTTAACAAGGAAGGTTTTATTTCAAGATACGCGTATACGTAATGCATGCTCATGCAGTTGTGTATATATGCACCCAGATATACATATATTTTTGAAAAGACTTTTTTAAAAATCAAAGTTCAGTCAGCTATGGATCAGTCTTGACTGCTCTAAAGCAGGGGAAATACTGCAGTGCTGCCCAGCAGCCAGAAGTGTGAGTTCAGATACACTGTAAACTGCCTCATTGTAGATAGGATGAGGCCTGGCATGCATTTGCATCAATGATGCGTGCAACCATGGCTTGGAGTGCCATAGAATACCTCAYTTTTCCTCATTCCCACTTCAAGTCTGAAGTAGAGTAGTAGAAGTAAAGAGAACAAGTAGAACAGTGCTACTTCCCACAGTGAAATCATTCCAAGTAGCAACAAAATGTTTTGGCTTTGTTTTTTATCTTGGATAGGGCAAAGTCCTTACTATGCTGGAATGACACAGAAGTAGTGTGGCTTCGTGTGAAAYACTAGTGTGTTTCTCTGCTATTTTAAACTATAACTTACCATTTCACACATATATAWAGGCTATGGTATGGTAGGTATGTTATGGAACTCATTAATTTAACTTCATTGTTAATCTTTAAAGTAAAAATACTATTTTCAAACTTGTTTTCAAGGATTTATTCCTTTGATAGGCAAAGGGCACAAAATCCAGAAGAACTCATTTTGCCCTGCCTTGATTTCAGTGTAACGTTACAGAAATACACATGGAAATATTAATCAGCAAATTCTAATTCTAAATTTCATCATGGAGTAAAGCTATCCTTCAGTTTCTTGAGCATTGTTAAGACCTTACTCAAAACAGGTTCTTTTCTGCCTCAGTTTGGTCTTTGGGGACCTGGAAGTTGTTCTTCTCCAGCAGCATCAGGTGTCTGCTTCTGTTAGCTTCTTTGAAAGCCTCTCTCTATCATTTATCCTGACAGTCTTTCCTTTCAGTATATACCACCCTTTTCCCTTTGCCTGTCAGTTTACAGTCTTCTGACCCTGATGAAAACCATTAAATATGAGCTATGCTGGTGGCTTTCCTTTTTTGTTTCAATGTCAAGGATGTTAAGCCATAAGAACTGTATAAGGCATTTATATAGGCACAGCTTTTAGCTGTGTATGCTTCTAGCCCTTCTAAAAGAAAACCTCTGAGTACTTTTTATACAAAGAATTTACTTTTATCCTATTTCTGCATGATGTAAAGAACTTACATACTGTCGTCTGTACTATTTAGAAGCTAACCTTCCATTGTGAACATTGTGTTTATATATGTTGTATGGAAGTCATAGATATAAGCTACCAAAAATATTTGATAGCTGCATTTTATTCAAGAAAGCTTTCAGTGTTGTTATAACAATTTAAAAAGTGGTCTGAATGTTCACTATGCAGAATATGTGAAAAAATTACAAGTGACAGGAGTCACTAATACCGAGARGCTTAAAAAATTGTGTGTGTTTCTGTAACAATTCTTTCTCTCTCCTTTTTTTTTTTTTCAGCAAGTCTCAATGGAGACTGACAGCCTGGTTACGGAGCGAGAGCGAATGCTTTTGGAAGAGCTGGAATCATTAAAGCAACAACCTGCACCGGGAAAAGAGCGGTTGTATTGTGAACTACGAGACAGCAGCACGCAAACACAGGTAAATAAATATGGACTTTGACTTTCCACACAGCTGTGGCATATAAAGCCAGTAAGATCCCTCTTGTCTGCTACTCTTCTGCTGCATTATATTTTGCAAATAGGTGTTGAATGTTACTTGAACAGAGTAGATTTAAGAACCCAAAGCTGGTGCCTGTAGACATAGTTAATTACTTCAAAAGAAACCAGCTTGAAGGTGGGGATTATTAATGTAGCTCTTTGCTCAGGTAAACTCCTGTTTTCATATTGCTATAGCAACACCAACAGAAAGCTCAAGACTGTTTATTCAGCATAACAAAGTTCTCCTAACAGGCCCTGCCTTGGGTTTCATGTTTTCTCTTTGTTTATGCATGTGGGAGTTTTTGTAGGTATTGCCTTTTCTTGGTTTGTAACTTCATGCACAAGTTCTATTAATGGAACATAGCTAATGAAGTTTTTAATTTCATATTCTACTATGTATCAGAAGACTATGTTGATTCTGGCATGACAGGATTTCTGTATATTTTGTCTTCTATCCCTCTGCAAAAACTTACTCAGAGCGGAGGTGAAAACCAAGACAGCACAAGAGAACTTACATTTAAGGAAGAAGATGAAGGAAGACAGTCTGAAGAAACATCGTCAGCTCTTCTTTCGAAAGAAAGGTACATAAAACTGTTAACACTAAGAAAATACTGCTCATGTAAGAATTCTAAATATTTCTAATATTTCTTTCTTCTGATTGAGTTCATTGTAATGGTACACTTATTTCTATGTAACTATGTTTCTAATTTTATTTAATTTTAAATGAAACAATTTCTTCTTTTTTTTTTTAAGCCTAACTATATAATGCTACATAGGATGAGCAAAACCTTTGCAATTCATACACAAATATAGATTACATACATTAATATTATACATGTATATATTTATGCATATTTGCATTTTTGTAGGAGGATAATTATTTTATTTSATAAGAGCTTTTAATTATTTTAATTGTCACTGAATAAGTTTATATGAAAATCAAATATGTAGCTGTTTTAAAAGAACACATMAATTCTAAAAACATGTTTTTGATAAATAGTTGGATATTTTAAATATTTTCTTAAAAAAAACAAGTTTGTATTAGCATTGTGATTTTAATGGYTATGTATGTTTTTTGTCTTTTAGTCTTCTAGTCTACAAAACAAACATAGATTTTATTGATTCAGAAGGCATTTGTTTCTGTGACTGCACTAAGGCATAAAAAAAGCTCAGCTGTTAAGCAGGGGAGAATTGAAGGACTGAYTAGTTCCTGTTCTGCAGGCATGTTTTTCAGAAGGCTAATGAAAAACTCATGAAGATTCTTTTAGAAGTTGTGAAGACAACTGTGGCCATAGAGGAGACAATTGGTCGCCATGTTCTTGGATTACTGGATAGGTCTGGGAAAGGCCAGCTTTCCAAAACAGCTGCATGGGACACAGAGCCAGAGGAGTCAGTGAAACCCTCTGTCCGGGTGGGGTATGAAAAAGGTAACAGTTCTGTGATTTCCTGTTGCATAACTAACAGCGTTTTCATACTTTTTTTTAATTTAAATACCCTTTATTTTAAAGTTGTTTGTAAAAAAAAAAAAAAAAGGGTTTTTTAATTACTATTAGTCATTTGAGCACTTACAACATCTCCATCTGAGAGATGGAAAGAAAATACAGGAGTTGTTTTTGAGCATTGAATCAGACAGTGGTCTAGGATCCTGTCACAAAGCCTGCAACAATAGGAAAGTGGTTGAGAAAGTAAAAAGATAAATATTTGACTTCTGGAGATAGCAAGAGGAAAGAGGATAAAACACAGCTTGACTTCATCTTGCACCAACTTAACTATTTCCTCACCATGTATGGGGAATGGGAGCTGAAATCAAAGGCTGTGTCTTTACAATACAGAGGGATATTGGCAGTCACTGAGGGCAGCTGGCGTGGAGCAGCCTGCAGTTGTCCTTGTAGACTTCCCAAGCCTCCGGAAGAGGGTGGTGGCAAACAGATGGCCTTTTGGGAGCCATCCCTGGAGCTTTCTAACTGGAAGCCATGCCCACGGGGCAAGATTCTTCTGTTTTTTGGGAAAGAACAGCAGGGCCTTTTTGCCATATGTTGGTACCAGTGACACATAAACCAGTGCAAAGACATGTGCATTCTACCTGAGCCTAATGGTGGAGCAACATGCAACAGATCAGTTCAACCTAAAGCATATTACACATCTGGTTTGGGCTAGAATTTTAGCTTTTTTGGTGAATGAGAAGAATAACTGGAGGTCGAATGCTGCAGTTCAGTATTAGGAAAGTGTAGACCATAGGGAAGTAACACAAATGGTCAACGAAGTTGAACTTTAACTTGTCTATTCAAAATGTAGGTTATAAGATATTATTCGTTCCCTCTAGCTCCAGATGTAGGTCACCATAAGCCTGGGGGCTGGCTAAGACAGGGTGTAAGACTGTCYGACTTGTAGCACAGTGACATCTCTCTCAGTTGACCCCACAAAGGTTGTCCGTGCAGTGAAAGGAAATGGGTACAACTGCCATCTGAGCATTCTTCAAGGTTTAAGTTAATGGCATTACTCTGCTTGTACTGATGTTTCAGTAAAAAGCCTCATGACAGTCAACTTTTGTACACATTTCACTGTAATTGTGAAGAAAATCACTGTGCATTTGGATGTCTCAACCCTTTGAGGCTTAGCCTTTTTCCCCAAAGTTTAGCCTGGATGTCTAAGCTTCTGGTCTGATTTTTTAGTACTTCTCCAGGAGACCTTAGGGACTGACATCATCATCTAGTTTAGTTGAGGGAAGCACTGCTTTCRAAGTGCAGTGTTCTTGCACTTTACTTTTGGATGGGAATGAAGGGAGTAGTAGTTGCTTATACTAAAACTGCTGAGAATAAGTATTTTCAGGCATTGCCAGCTATTTACCCCACTGTCTCTTGGGCTTGAAATGGGTGGATGTAGAGTTTGCAGTCTGTTTCTCAGGTAGTACTCACAGTGCTACTTTCTTACCTTTTTGCTTTCAAACTGATAGAGCAGCAGCCTTGCAGAACACACAGCTCTGCTGCAAGGATCAGGCTGATACGTGGTGCTTTTCTGTGATGCACTCTGTGATTGCACCAGCATTTGATCCTGCTCCAACTAGACATATGTCACAAATTCAATTTGTACTTTCAGTCAGAAGATTGTTGTTACTCATTTCCTATACTCCCATTCAGTGGCTAAAGGGGTTACAATCTCTCAAGGATTTTTTTTTTTCATTCTGTTCCGCATATAAGGAATAGGCACTGCTTATATGTTTTAACCTATTGTGTTTTGCTAGCCAAACAGATCTTCATTTAAATAGCCTAGGAAATTTTTGAGAAAAAAATGTGCAAAGAAAAATCTAACAGTAAAACAGAAATATTAATGCATTTAAGTGAGTGAAGTCTCTCTGACCTTCTGAATGTGACCCATATTTACCAACAAGCAAAACTCAAGTGTCTTGTAGAACATCCATTGGTTTGCTCCATTATTTTAAGAAAGCTGAATCATTAAGATGTGTGTGCCTAAAACCATAACCTGATTTATAGGGCAAAATGGGTTTATCTGGCGCCTTGGCTAGGTTATCAGTTAACACAGAATTGTATTTCCAACACCATGAGTAAAGTTCAAGTTTCAGCCATAAAACCTGTCATATGGAGGGAACAGCGTTTGTACAAAGTAATGCAGCGAGTTCAGTGCACCTGGAGACCGGGGCCCTGGATGGTGAGGACAGACCCTGCAGCCTTTGGGTCCTCCTGCTTTAGAGGATGCTGAGGAGCAGAGGCTCCGCTCTGACGTGGGTGCCTGTCAGGTTACTGCATGCCTTGAATATCCAAACTCCTTTACCTACTTTTAGGGCTTCAGGCAGTATACAAGGTAGAAAATAGGTTTATTCACTGATCCACCATCCTACAGACTCTTTCACTTCCTACTTGTAACCCATGACTTTAATTTCTCCAGCGTAATCCCAGCAATAAACCACAACAAGAGTCCAACTGTGGCACAAGGTAAATAAAATAGGTATTGCTTCACAGGCATCAATCAACAGCTCAGAAACWATCTCTGTACCCAGATTTCTTTATCCCACTTCTGTGCAAGGACTCTATTCTTATGACTTACTGGGCCATGATATCTGCCACGCAGAACTGCAAATCTTGAGGTGGACAATGTAAACTTTTTCTGTTGGGTTACAAGGAGTAAGTTCACACAAGAAATAGGCATTTTTACTTGTGCCAGTTATTCTCTATTGTTTTGTTTCAATGAAAAGCTTGGGGAAGGAGAGTGTGTTTTTACCTCTTTTGCAGGGGGTGTGTGGAGGGTGTCCCAATACACTGTAAGGATTAGTACAAATTGCAGGAATGAGTTCAGTGACCAGGGAGTCTTTTGTCTTTTCTTCCTCGRTTATCTTTGAGAGTTTTAAAGTTTCCACTTTATGGAAGTGGAAAGTGGAGCATAAATTATGCTCCTCCTTTCTTCATTTCTTTTTATAGTTGTATTTCAGTAAATTATATAGTTCTTATTCTGGGATGTTTTTGTATAACAGAATTAGCTCTTTAGTATTGATTTATTTTGTATTTATCCAGAGGAAACAAAGGCAAAATATAAAGGAACTCACATAAGCAAGACAGGGCTTTTTAATCCTCTCATTAAAATCTTGTCATGGACAAGCCATGTTTTACCCTTTTATCACTGGCAAGAAAAGGTAAGAAGCAAGAGATATTCCAAAAAAAAAAAAAGAAGCAAGAGATATTCCAAACTTAGCTTTTAAACAATGACCACCTGAGCAGGCTTCAATATTTTTAAGTTTTTCTATAAAAGTCTCCAGTTGTCCAGAAATTCTGATGAGTGTGTAAAAGACTGCAAATCTTTTTGCCGTTACTTTGAAAAAAATTTGATTTTTCAGTTGACATACACTCATCATTGCAGAATCAGCTGTATCTCTTAATCAGATAGTTTACTAGAATGTAAGTGTTATAGGACATATATTTAATAGAGTTTAAAACTTATCTACATTGATAGCAGGACATTCACTCGTCATTGCCAAGACTTTGTCCACGTTTCTGCCGATTGTGCAATAACTAACGCGTCACTGTTTTTATTTTATGTGGCTTATAGCTGTACTACTGTACTGTGGACTTTTATTTTGTGAGATCTCTGAAGCTAAGCAGGTCTTACCTGGTCAGTGCTTAAGGTGGGTGACCTCCAGAGAGCATCAGGTACTGCTAAGTGTGTTGGTGGCCAAGGAGGGAGTGTGATGTCCCTCAGCTCAGCCTTTAACCAGTGCTTGGTACAGCATTTGGAAACACTTATCCTTGTAAATGAAGGATGAGGGTGTGRAGGAGTCCTTTATATGGAAGGCTCTGAGGATATTAAAGCTTCTCTCTCATCGTGAACAGTTTGGGACATCCAGAGCCCTTCAAATATGGGTGTTGAGAAATGCAATTTAATTAAAGGTGGTGGCTGTGGCCTCACACTGCAGGGGGGYTGCGATGTGAAGGCGTTTGGGGAATCCCCTGTTCTCCTCCAACACTTCACCAGGGCTGGTCTGKGGACAGAGAGGAGCTCCCGCCACAGCGGCCTGTGGATGTAGTCCCAAAGTGCAGGATGGGAGAGCGCTTTGACCTCCCCTGTCCCTGAAGGGCGCCCTGTGAATGTGTGTTTTGTCCATCTGGTTACTCATTCCATTCATATGTAAATTGTGTTGCTGGTTTTCCCCTATGGAGGACAAAGAGATTTTGTAGAATTACACCATCAAAATGGAAGGAGATAGGAATTAGTAATGATGTAGCTAGAAAATTACTAGATACATCTGCATTTTGTAAATCTTAGTAATTATACAGTAAAACTAGACTAATCTTGCCAAGCTAAATTTGTCATAGGTTGTTGTGTATGGGTCATATGCATATAGTGGAGTATATGCATAAATGAGTTACTACCATCATGGATGCAAAGATAAAATTAGATGTTTAATCATACTGGAACTAGTTAAAAGAAAACAAAATCTCGCTGGGTTCAAACGGCATCAACAAGGAACTGATGCTTCCAATATTGTTTGGATATTTGTTTAAGAGCAGATATAAGGAATTCATAGCCAACAAGATGTTTTAAGACAAATTGTAAAATTTAGCTGTAAAAACCTCATTTTGAATTTCTGTAACTAAAGAAACTGTTCCAATTTTGCTGTTGTTATTCATAGAATAACCAGCAACCTACAGTGAAAATTAACCATAACCTTGTATTGCCATTTTATTGCCAAGCAGATACCGACTATTCTTAACTCATTTGGTCATACCACCTTTTCCTCAAATCAGAGTCTTTTTTTTTTTTTGAGAAAGTTTTAAAGAAAAGAATACTCACTTACTCTATATGGGAAAAAATACTGTCCTTTCTGTGACAGGAAAGGAGGCAAACGCTTTTGGTGTGTGAGGTCTTGTGTTAACACTGGGTGCTGTATTGAATGTCTCTCATAACCACATAGTAATTACTGAATTTTAGAACAATCCCAACTTACATATGAAATAATAAATCTAATACAAATAAAAACTTGTCAAAAATACTCTAGTAAAACTGAATATCRTTTTTAAAACTTTCTGCAAAAAGTTTTACTTGGGATATTTCAAAACAAATAGCCTAGTGGAATAGCACTTTGCATTTTYAAAGTCACTCAGTCAACAATAATTATTTATTGTAGTGATGCACTATTGTATTGTTGTTTCATACTGGAAGTGTGATTTATTTTTTAGGAGTTTTAAAGTATCTCAGGAATATACTTGCACTTGTGTCATTTAAATGCAGCYCTCATTTCTAAATATGCAAATTTACTGTTTTCTGGTTTAGCTACCTTAAGTTTAATACCATGGGCAAACTTTGTTTCCTGCTTTTCAGACAAAATGAATAATGTCCCTAAATTGAATCAGCCTTCAAGAATTTTGAGCAGTAGGAAGATGACATCCTGCCCCTCAGTAAAGAGTTAGAATTCCCCTCCATTCTGTTTGATTTGTTCAGCTACCCATTTTAATCAATATCTAGTTAATTATGCTCAATTTCTGCACTCTGGTCTATTTGTTCTGRAAAGWTGTCTGAATTGCATAACCAGGGAATTGCCACTCACCTTATTTGAGTTTCTTTGAATTACTGACTTAACAATTTGATGTTAATGTGCAATAGCAGAGTTGGTCACGGCTGAAACAGTGGCTGCCTGTTTTTTTTACCTGGTTGCATTTTAAAGCCCCTTTTGCAGGTCATTACTGCAAGTTATTCAAAATCATAAGGACTACTGATAGCAACACAGGTTTGCAAGATCAGATACACAGCCCAGAAGCATGCTGAGAGAGTGTCTAAAATATTTGTTAACATTTCCTTTTATCTCTCTCATCTGCCTGGTTTGTCATTAACACCTTCTAAGTTTTAGTATATAATACTTCCCTTCTGTCTTTGTGATCAGACTTAGCATTCTAATTTTTTTTAATGTTTTGATGTTTTGAATCTATGTAAAAAGAAAATTATTAWTTTTTCAGAGCCCTGTTCCTCTTACCATGGTAGTAATATGGGAATTGATGATATCAACATCTGGTCAGGAGCAACAGATGAAGGACTGCTGACCCARCATCTTGCAGAAAGTGGCGTGGAAATAGATCCTGAAAATGAAGAATTGGTTCTGAATGTTAGTTCTCGACTGCAAGCAGCTGTTGAAAAACTTCTGGAAGCTATCAATGAAACTTCAAATCAGGTAGGGTGATATGATGGTAACATGCTTTGAATCTTACACCTTGTCTTCTTTTTTCCTCATGAAAATATTTTAGGCTGATAAACTAAGTCCAAAACCTGTAGGTTCATTTCGAARGTAAAAACAGGACTTCAGTTGTGTAAGTTGTGCTGTGCCGCAGCATGACCTTAGTGACGAATTCAGGTTCACATTGGAGATCTGCTTTGGACTGCAGTGAACTACATGTCTGGATGTAGGTGTGYTTACCAGAGTAGGGCTCAACAGTCACCTGCTTTCCGAGGAGAGGTGTCAGAGCATCATCCCTCTGGCCCCTATGAAAAGGCAACTGTGCCCAGTTCTCCTGTTAAACATCTTAGTCTCTTGGTTGCCCAAAGAGATCGAAATCTGCTGTCTTTCAGCTGTGTTTTAAAGTTCCATACATCTGGAAGGGAAGTCWGTGGCTCAGCACTGATATGTAGAGGTGTGTGACTCATGTATCATCTCCAAGGAAGAGGCAGTGTCAGTACCCCTTTCTGCTCGTGCTTTGCRTGGTGGGATTTTTAGTTGCTTTATGAAGTTCACTTTATTTTCCTTGTTAATTGAAGTCAGTTACATACTGAGCTCACGCTGCCCCTACTGTAACTTCTAGATGATAAAGGTTTCAAGATGAAAATACATAAGTAGGTGCTCTTTTATTCACTGTTTGTCCATTAGGAACTTTAAGTATCCATTTTTATTAAGCTATTATTCTGCAAGTTCTTGCATGTGTAGGTACAGAGGGCTGATGCTGTAGTGTTGGCTAAGGCTCTTCAAGCATCCAAAGTAATTCCTTGACAGGTATTAACAGATCAGGTTAATAGATTTAGATCTGGTTCTGGTTTTCCCAAAGAGCTACTGGCATCTAATCACATTTTCTTGCATGGCTTTAAATCTATACCAGATGAGATTGACCCAAATACATTTCAATGAATGCTCATTTGGGTTTATTATGTATGTATGTATTTATTTATTTGTTTGTTGTATTTTGCCTTCATGAGGGCATTTGAGCCTCCAGGCCACATTCACTGTGTTCAGGGGTTCTGAACTTGCTGCTTCAACTTTGTTAGTTGTAGTAAGTGAAATTCTGGGAGGGTCATACTGCATCTGTTTTTGTGAAGCATTGTTCAACGTTTGTACACATCTGAGATGTAGATAGATTTCTTTTACTAACAACAAATCCAAAGAATTTTGAGCATACCAAAGAAATGAAAAAAAGTCRTGATTTGGTAAAGATGAGCCTTTCAGATAGGTACATGACATGAGCTGCTTCCGTACCAYAAAATGTAGTAGAATGTAGAAGATGCTGGTGGTATTTTAATTTTATAAACTTTTTATACTTCAATGTTTACAGCCTTAATCTTTACAGCCTTAATCTTTTGCGGTCACCAAAAAATAGCTCTGCATTTCTCCATTATACTGGTTTCCAGCAGTTCTGCTATTAGGTTTGCTAACATTACGTGTTTCCTGGGACGGAATTGTGCATTACATATATACTTAAAGGCTAGGATTATTTTTGAAATATATAGAAGTATCGTGAGTAATTTAAGGGCAAAATATATACTCTTTTCTCACAAATACCAAAGATAGTAGCAGATTAACAATTCATTTCTACAGCATCGACTTTCTTTTGTTACAGTTGAGATTGTAATTGTACTACCTCTTTTAGGGATACAGTAAATACTGCTGGATTGACTAGAAATTTATTTCATAGCGTCTGGAAAAGTCTGGTCTATTTTCATATTCTGTATTTTAAGTATGAGCCAGTAGTGTGACTAGTTACAGTAGATCAGTCAGTCTGCTGTCAATTCAGTGTCTCCTGTGGAACTCAGTATTTTGAGCCAACTCCTTAACSCAACTGAGACTAGAATTCAGAGATGATTCAAGACAAAGATAAAAGGCTACATTGTGACACATTAAAGTTACAAAATAATTTAACTACAAATGAAACAAAATCCCCTCTGGTTTACTAAAGCAATTAGTCTGGTTGATCTTGCAAATCAGTCTCTGCATTGCATTTATTTGCAAACTAATTGTGTAGCAGCCCTTCTGTTTGAGCCCACATGTAGTTGGAAAAAAAAAAAAAGTGGTTTAGGGATTTTTGGTTTGATTTTGTTTGTTGTTGATCCCTTCTTTTAGTTTAAGCCCCAGAATTACATATCGAGAAAGGATACATAGTATTATATAGATTATATATAATACAGATTGTATAGATTGCATATATAGATACTGTAACATACGTGCTTAAAGTTATTGATGGAAAYTGGAAGCAAATCTGTCTATATCATGTTCTTTAAATGTTGAAGAAAAGCACATGGAAAGTAATTAAGGATTCATGCAGTGCTTATAAAAGTGTCATAAATTATGGGGCTTCTTTCTTCTGGACAGTTTGTTGCTGACCTTTAAATGGAATAGTTTTGGACCTAAGTTATCGAGCTGTTGTGAAAGATGTTTCTATAGTGACTTTTTACTTCTTTCATATGAAGGARAACAATCCAAAAATTCTAAGCAGTTTATTTCTGCTTATTGTCCATTGATCAGGCAAGTTCGCTGTCTGTTCCTAGCTTTGTACACGAGACATGGCCAATATTGGCAAGAGAGAGAGAGATTTTTTGACTCAAATGTACACAACACACGTGCATGCTCCCTCACACTTTTTTTCATGAGAATTACATGAAATGTATTCAAAAATGGACTTATCTCTGATGAGAAATTTAAAAAGTGAATAAAATGTTTATCTGTTTTCTTGTTTTCCCACAGTACCTGTATATTAGGTATAAACCTTGATGTCCTTTCTGTCTGCTCTGTGGAGACACTTAGGCAAGCACTCAAACTTGTCTCATTTGCAATGCCTAGTGTGGACTTACTAAATTGTATACAAATTCCTGTGTGCATCTTAAGCCTTGCAGACATAGCAATTATTTTTAAATGTTTCAAAATAGAGCAYGTTATAAAATACTACAGAGGGAAAAATAACCTTAAATAACCTTTAAACCTAAAGTAAGGCAGAAAAATGAGGCAGAAAATAACCTTTCCTCTTAATTAGTTGTATTTTGCATATCGATATGTCCCGAGTTCTTGAATCAAACTTGARAGAATGAGAGGAACCTGTGGACCGGTCAGAGGAGGCGCTTGCAGCCTGTCCCGGCACAGCAGGATCTGAATCCTCCCAGGCAGGGCGCAGGGTGAGGGCCTAAATTCAAATTCCACCTGCTGGGGAGGGCTGTGTGCAGGTAGATCCCTGAAGCCACTCCCCCGGCCTCCGGCTTTTGCTGGCAGGAAATACTTGAAGCAGCCAAGCTGGAGCAAGCTGCTCCTGGGGAGGCAGCTCCGAGAGCAGGAGTGAGGTCGCACGGTGTCGGGCCGGTGTTTTCTCTGCATTCGCCCTAGCAGAGGTTGAGGCTCGCTGGTGGCTTCTGTTCTGCTGCCCTGCTGCAGTGCTCCCCGCCAGGCAGGACGGGCTGGCGCYTCCTCGCCTTGGGAATCAGCGGCCGGCTCCTCCTGGAAGGCTTGCCTTGCCATTCCGCCTGCAGCTTCACTGAGGATTGCTGGAAGTAGCTTGATGAAGCTTTCTTGCACGGATTTTATGGGTTTGGGGAGTTTCTWTTTGTGCATTTATTTATTTATTTTTAATTACTCCTGGGTTCCTTGTGGGCGCGATCGGTAGCTTCCTGGTGGTTTTGCAGTTGCTTTGTCGCCGGCAGCGCCTCAGCCGAGTTCCCACACTGCTAAGTCTATGTGCTCTGTCACGGATTTATTAACGTGAGGACTTTGTAARGCCAACCTAGCGAGTGCAAAATCCCAGTGTGCCAGATAAGAAGGCGGTGGCAGCAGCAGGACTCTGCCATGGATTCCTACCGCACCTACTGGGCCTCTAATTTCTTTAGTGGTCTGTGGGCAGAAGGCCAAGAAGAAAATACTTGCGAGGTTGAGTCTCGTGTGCCTCTACCAAACCCTTTTCCTTTCCCTGAGCACTTGGATGAGAATAATTCTGTCGTCGTAAATACATCAATTTTTCACTTCAGCCACAAAAGAAATGGACACGTTTTAAAAGTTGTCTCTAAAATCTCCTTGCCTACACCTCCCTATTCAGTAAGTATGATAGTTTTTAAAGGAAATTGTATTTTAACCTGCTTAAATACAAGATAATAGAGTAATATAAACTTGTCTCATATATAATTTTTGTCTTTATGGTTAAACTTATATTCTGCTAGCGGTTCCCAGATAGTTTTTAATAGCCACTGAAAAAGCCTTTATTTAAAAAAGTTTCTGTTCATTTCTGCCAGAAGAATTTTAGCAGTTGCAGAAATGTATTGAAATATATAAATTTAAGTTCTCTAATACAGATACTTCACTGACACATGTTAACATTTTTCTTACTATGATTGACATAGGTTTGGAGGGGTATGCAGTAGCTTTTATGCACTGACTAGCAGCACTAAATGGCACAGGCTTTCTAATGGCATGTTATGGTGGTCAATGTCCAGTAACCTTGTTACATGTTTTTCTTTTAACGGCATAGTTTTTCATGCAACACTTTAAAATGCAAGAAAGTTTTAAGAATACTCTGTGATTTTTAAAAAAGGCTTAAACCGGTGCAAATACAGTATAATTCAAGGTGATTTCTAAAAAGAAACATGAAAGGAACCAAATCAAGTCTTTAAATACATCGTGTCTTAAAAGAGAATCTATTGATTATTTAGTTATTCTTTTGAAACTATAGTTTTGTTTTTAAAATGAATAACTGTGTGTGTCTATATGGTGTTTCTAACCTGTGTTCAGAGGCTGCAAAGCCTTTAGTAAAGCAAGTTAGCTGCACCTAGGAACTAAACTCATGGAGAGTCTGAGAGCTTTTATTTCTGAAGAAAAAGAGAGAACATATTGCATAGGAAACAGCAGCAAAATCACTGAAGATATTATAATACAAATATCTGCCAGTATGTATAATACTAAAAGGAAAAACAATGGGGGAGAAGCAGGAAATACGTGTTCCATTTTCTGAAGTGTTGTCATATTCTGAATACAAGATGCACAAAGAACTCACGACCTGTTCAGCTCCATCAAGTCTAATGCCTTCCAGCCTGTATTTCTATGTCCTTCCAAGAGACAGGTACAGACAGTAAACATTAATAGTTGGGAAGTACAGATCTCCTTGTGGTARTAGTATGTCCTTACTATATTGCTTTTGTAACACTGACTTTGAGTCTATCTTGAAGTTATAGCTTTGAGTAGGTCTGAACTGGGTGCTGAGCACGCGCTGCTTTTTAGCACTTCAGTCCTGGCTTTCCAGTTGTTTAGGTTAGTGGTTAATTATGTTGTTTTACACTTGTGGTGACACGCATCAGTGGTGCTGTGTTACAGCCGTGGTGATGTGGATTAAACGCCTTTCCTCATCAGAGGGGGAAAGAGGAGTAAAAATAGTTCTGTTAYGCAGATGCAGTCAGAAGCACCACAACTTTTGCTGTTTGGTTGGTTGAAAAGTGCAGTGTAGCCAGAATCCTTTTATTTTGTTTTGTTTTTTGTTTTTAATGTTTTCATGCTTGAGAGCAAAACTGATACCACTTGTGCTGATTTATATCAAAATTTCAGCCAGTTTTAGCCATTTTAAGGATACGATGGGTGATGGCTTCTGTGCATGTTTAGCATGAAACTTCTGTGTAAATACAGGTGAATCTAGTGTAAACTCATAAATGAGGCGTGGGCGGAACACGGACACGGATTTAGGCACGTGCCTTGCTCAGTACACGGTCCTCATGAGTCTCTGCTTAGGCTKCTCTGTTGAGTCAGTTCTCATGTTGTAGTCAGGGATATGTGTTCAGATACCAARCTTACCAAATATCCACTGGAGCTGTGTACTAATCACACTGGAAAACAATTGTAAACTAAATATAAATGCTGGAATAGATATTTATCAAAAATTCTTTGATTTATCTAATCTCTGTCTTCTTTTCCTGTGGTAGCTTGAACATGCTAAAATTACGCAGACAGAACTCATGCGAGAATCCTTCAAAAAGGAACAAGAAGCCACAGAATTTATCAAATGCCAAGAGGAACTGCAAGAGCGTCTTAGTGAAGAAATCAAGGCCAGGGAGCAGCTGGCTTTGGAGCTCAGTAAAGCAGAAGGTGAGTAGCTTCTCTGATGAGCTGATGAGTTTTGCATTCGCCTTTTATAGTCATAGAATCATTAAGGTTGGAAGAGGCCTCTAGGGATCATCCAGTCCAACCCCCTGCTCCAGCAGGGACACCCAGAGCACGGGGCACAGGGCGGCATCCAGGCGGGTYTGGAAGATCTCCAGAGAAGGAGACTCCACAGCCTCCCTGGGCAGCCTGTTCCAGGGCTCTGTCACYCTCACTGTTAAGAATTTTTTCCTTAAGTTCCTGTGGAATTTTTCATGCTTCAATTTGTGGCTGTTTCCTCTAGTCCTGTCGTTGGCCACCACTGCAAAGTACTTAGTGCTTAAAACTGTTTAGTACTGAGAGACTTCAGAAACTAGGTCACTTTTATGTCTGTTGCACTGCTTGGAAGACAGTTACTTTGGACTTGATAGAGTTTACATTCACAAATCTTCAAAAATAAAATAATTAGGACAAAGCAGTGGGGTTAGTGTTYAATTTTAAAGGCAAAAATCTGCCGTAATTTTATATTTTTTCTATTACTGTCCTATTACCAGACAAGAAACAGATCTGAAAATGACCCAGACTCTTGTCATGAGTGTACCTCGTTCTGTTACAAAGGTTACTTGTGCAAAGAAACTAATAGCAACAAAGAAACTCCTACTAGATGCCACTTTGTAGACAGCGGAACACAGGATACAGAATTTGATGTTACAGTTTCAACCCTAGATACATGCATTTCACAACCAAACAACTAAGTTATATGCAGAATTAGATCATCTGTAGAGAATTAATTCAATACAGTCTTGCAGAAACTGAGCCCATTTGTACCCTTTACCATTTTAATGTACGTGCTTTATAACTCCTGAGTTAATTGAATCTTTTTCCTCCTTTTTTCCTCTGAACATCTGATACAAATGCACTTAATGACAGGAACTTTTTTTTTTTTTTTGATGTAATAAAACAAGGATGCCATAGAACTCTATTTATTTATTTTTTTTCTGCTCATTGAGCCGAGGTGTGAGTGCACTCGGGCAAAGCCAAACTGCCTTCTCATACTCAGCTCCTTGGTGAGGCCTGAGACGAGAACTCACAGGACACGTCTGATGGCCCTGTCTTCCCTTGAATTAAAGGATGTCTTTCTTGATCATTTCATATGTACCACCAAAACTGCTGCAGCTGAGGCATTTTCAAACCTCTTGTGTTTTAGTGGCCCATCARGTATGACTTATCTAAGGAATGCCATAGAAAGCTAATGCTAGTTGGTTCACTGAGCTCTGACAACTTTCATCAAATCTCTTTAAAAGAAAAAGGGGAGGAGGAGGAGTTTACAGCACATCAACAATGCATTGTGTTGATGTGAATCAACACATGAAATCATGTGCTGAGTACAGAAGTGTTCAGGTGTTGAGGATCTGTCGTGCCTGTGTATTCGTGTGAGAATAMTATAGGGACTTCACCACGCAAAAAAATCAAAACTGATTTTTTTAACGTATTGAATCTATCCTCCCATCTGTTCTACAGGCCTCATTGATGGTTATGCAGATGACAAAGCATTTCTGGAAAAACAACTTCAGGAAAAAATAGATATAATTGACCATCTTGAGCAGGAACTGCTGTGTACAGGTAACAAATTACAGGAGTTAGAGGCTGAACAGCAGCAAATCCGGGAAGAGAAGGAGCTCCTGTCCAGACAGAAGGATGCCATGCGAGCAGATGCGGGGCCTGTAGAGCAACGTATGTATTCCTCACAGTCCTTCTATGAGATTTTCTTGTATTTTCAAATAAGATGCAGAAACCTTGGTGCATTTCCTCTCTTTTAGTTATCAATAAAAATGTGGTATGGCCAGTGTTTTTATACTTGGTGCCTAGCCTTAGATTGGTAACTGTTTTCAATATTTAAACAAAAAATGACTGAATTTTCAGAGGTGATGCCTCTGAAAATCTGAATATTTTTATTTATATCATCACTGGARATGGAGTATCTCAAAGTCAGCACCTATGTATAGAAATACTGGAGTAAATATTTTCCCATATTTAGAGATTTAGAGAGACTGGCAAATATGATGGAAGTACWTATGATATCCATATGTATGATAAGCATAAAAGAAGTTGTGCTTTTCCAGCAAATTCCTCTTTTGGGGAAGAATGGTGCAAAAGTTGTGTGTTAGCAATTTGTCTTCCTGCAGTAAAGGCATCTTTTAAATCTTTTTTTAAACTAAAAATTAGAATGAACATTTTATGKTTGAGAGTGGAACAGTATTAGTGTGTTAAACAGTACTGATCTTTCGAGGACTGCAGAACTTAACATTGTAAATAGCAGGGTGAAGTTACCATATTCTTTAGCACCCAAAAGTTTATTGCAGTATATATTATTTCTAGGTTGCTGAACATATATTCAAGATACTTCCTACTGTGTATTTGCAATTTCCTGAATCCGTTTTGTATAAAAATGAACAGCCCATTGCTTCCTCTTTTATACTTGGGTCTGAGCCCAGTTTAGTTRTTTTTTACATTTCTAAATAATTTCTCAGTCATTTTCATGTATAACAACAGTAACAACAAGCAATTCTATGAACTATATGTACATACACTTATGTCACGCATACGAGAATAACCTACTGCATTCCCTAAGTTATCCCAACAACTTTGCCATTAAGTGCCACGTTCTATCTTTGGCTTCATTTTCTCTTACATTGTTGCACCACAAGAAAACTCGAGCTGGCATGTGAATTACTTTGCTTCTTTTTGTTTTGTTTTCTCTCTCTCTGTTCTCCTAGGCCTAGTAGATGCTGCAGTCGATGCAGCTTCCCAAGCAGGTGTGTTTGTGTATTGCATGGCCAATCGTTAATTGGGTGCAAGACTGACACGTACTCACGTTGTTAATCAGGATTATTGGGCTTTCAGCTTACTGACATTACTTGTAATTCTTACTGGCCTGCAGCTTTGATGTTGTATTTCATAATTTCATATTCAGTTTTACTCTTCACTAACACCATTTCTGACAATTCCTAAGCATAATAAGCAGATTCATTAATAACCATCATCTTATTCACCTAYGAATTACAGATGCTCAGAAGGGTATCGGTATCGGAAAGGTATCTTTTGCAGCCTTCTTTTTTTCCTTCTTCTTTTCATTTTTAAGTATAGTGAAGCTATTCATTATGATAACTAAATAATGTGTTATGTTGGCATGCAATGGTTACCTAAAAATGGAAATTGGTTAAATACGATGTAAGATGATGGTGTCCAAAGGATCTTTCTTCTGTAGTGAAGTAAATTGTATTGTATCTGTCTAAATATCAATCATGTTTTAAAGATTCTCCAAATGTAAATCTATTTTACAGTTTGGATTTTTACCTCAATGGATGCATATGTTTAGGTGATATGTACTTCATGGGGCTGTGGCTTAAAGATCTTAAAAAAGTGGTTTGGGGCTTTACTATGTACGCTTGTCAGCATTTCGTGCGGACTCAAAATCAGGCATGTGTTTTTACAAAGTTCCAGTTACAGGTCAGTAATTTCCCTCTCTGTCTGCCTGATAACCTCTCTTAAGTCTTTCAATATTCACTCTTTTTTTTCGTATGTATCACATCAAAGATTAAAGACTGGGAGTGGATCATTTTCACTGACACTGATGATGAGAAGAGGGTTGGCTTTTCTGTTCTCCACTGTTAACCCTTGTGGTGGCTCCAGCTGTAGATGGAACCAATCCCTTCTTCCTTTCTGTGTAATTTGTGATCTGAAAGAACTTCTTTAATAGTCCTCTAACGGACAGTGATTTTAACATGAATTTGTATAGCTTTTGGTGATTACCTTGATTATTTTCCTCTGAAAAATATATTTTCTAAAAAGAAAAAAATAGTAAAAACCCAAACCAGTTAACAAGTACAGCATGGATACGTACAGCCTTTGGGAGTGGTTTGGCTTCACAATATTACTAACTCTTCTTAATCTAAAAGAAGTTATATTATACATTTGTTGCAACCAGAATTGCTGGATGAAACAGAAAAGCTAATGAAAGAAAAAATTGAAGTACAACGTCAAGCTGAAAAAGAGTATGATGACCTCCAGAAGCAAGTGAAAGTCTTGGAAATAGACTTGGAAGAGCAGGTTAATCGTTTTATAGAGYTGGAACAAGAAAAAAATGCAGAACTAATGGACTTACGGCAGCAAAACCAGGCTTTGGAGAAGCAACTCGAGAAAACAAGAAAATTTCTGGACGTAAGTATTGTAAAACGCTTGTTTTGTGAAGAAGGCCGGGCACCTGTTTTCCGTCTTGTTTCAAAGCAAATGCTGGCTTTGTAAGATTTTGAGTGAGTCACACCAGGCTAACAGAAATGTACCTTCTGGGACAAGAATCTGTTGAATGTTTTGAGAGTTTTGAGAGTTTTGAGACTTTTTTTTTCTGTTGCTTCATCAATATTATCATATTTGCTCTTCCAGGAGCAAGCAGTTGACAGAGAGCATGAGCGAGATGTGTTCCAGCAGGAGATACAGAAGCTGGAGCAGCAGCTGAAGGTTCCCCAGAGGAGTCAGCCTGTCAATGAGCACCAGACCAGAGAGGTAAGGGAGCTTCTTGCTTATTCTCACGGAAGATGYTTGACAAAACAGAAAATTTTAAAGTATTGTAATGAACCTATTTCATGATGTACCTGATCTGCACCTCCTTGATGTCAGGTGTGTGATGGCCTAACAGCATGGAGCTGTTACTCATGTGTCTTTCTTACCTGTATTTTATGACTAAAGCATTTCTGCAATACTGCTAGAACTGGGATTGTTCCTATACCTGCTATAAGATACCCTAAGAGTATCATATACTCTTTCCTTTCTAGCTTTTGAGCCACAAATATGTGCACTACTGACATTCAAAATGCTTTATTTAGACATTTTTCCTGCTATGGGAAGTGCAAAGGATATGATCCATCAAATCTGTTTGCTCTTACTTTACCAACCCAGCAAGAAACAGATCTTAGCTTCTTGAGGTTGAATTGCAGCAATTCTCTTGAATGTTAGAGTCCCAGTGAGCTTTGGGGTGTCAGTGTGCCACTAATCACCTGTTTATTTCAAATAGGATTTTTAGAGCTATGATATTTCTCAAAGATGCAAATAGAACCTAAGGTCAAGACCTTTAATCCTTAAAAAAAAAAAAAAATCCATTTCATCTAAGTAGGCTACATAGGGATGCAATATTATTTCGTTTTGGATACATTTTTTTTAACATTGGAAAATCTGAATTCTTAAGAAGAACATGATCTGTTCTTGAGAGTAAATGATATAGTCCAAAATATCAGACTTCCAAAATTCATACAGCATTTCTGAAGGATGTAGGACTGCTACAATATTCTATCTTTGCTATCTATTTTACCTGGAGAGTAGGAGATTCATTAAAAGGGAAAAAAAGAGTGCTTTTTTTTTCTCTGTCACAAATGAACGTTGTTACTTCTGCTCAGAAATTATTCCAATCTATTACGATATGTTCATCTTCTTGTCACATTGTCACCAGGTTGAGCAATTAACAAATCATCTAAAAGAAAAAACAGACAGATGCAGCGAGCTTTTGCTCTCTAAAGAGCAACTTCAGAGAGATATACAAGAGCGAAAYGAAGAAATTGARAAAYTGGAATGCAGAATAAGAGAACTGGAACAAGCCTTAATCGTCAGCACCGACAACTTGCACAAGGTATTGCTTGATCTAAAATTGCCATGTATTTACTGCTGTTGCATGCTTTGTTCTCCAGAATTTTTTTTTTTTTTTGCTTCTCATTAATTAATAAATARCAATTTTACAATGCTTATTTAAAGGTGGAAGAAAGGAAACAGTTTGGCGCCATCATAATAAAAGGAGAATTACCACTTGAGGTACAAYTGCAAGCTGAACGAGAAGCTGTGGACAGAAAGGAAAAGGAGGTATAAYATCTATGAAGTGTTTCCAGTGTTTTCTCTGATATTTGGGATTGTAAGTTTTTGCCTTATTTTGAATTTAAGGAACAATGCAGGTAACATTCTATAATATATAAAATTATTTAAAAAATTATGAACAGATCAGAGACACAGAGGTCCAAATCCCTTTAAAATTCTCTGGTAACTACGATAGTTGCTGCTCTTTTCTGTGCTAGTCAGAATTAACAAGAAAATGTTTCTGGAAGGATAATTTGGCTCAATTAAGAAGTAGTATGTTATTTCAAAATAATGACTGAATTAAAGTCTCTGGAACTAGTGTAGTGACTTTAGTTGGTTTTCATGGGTTTTAAAATTCCATTTAGTTTTAGAATAGACTATATCAGAGGTTCAATGAGTACAGATTCTGYTGTTTGTGCATAATAGTGCTTAAACTGTGAACTGTGAACAGTTACACTGCCCTTGAAAATTATGGCCATTACATTTCTGCTATGGCACTACAGCCTTTTGCCATTTATTTTGGAAATGTAGGTCACAAACCTTGAGGAACAGCTCGAACAGTTTCGAGAGGAGCTAGAAAATAAAAATGAAGAAGTTCAGCAACTGCATATGCAACTAGAAATTCAGCGAAAGGAGTTCACGACACGTTTGGAAGAACTGGAACAAGAGAACAAGTCATTTAAGGTAATTCTGGACCAGAGAAGCCTAGAATATTTTTTCTCCTTCATCCTCCAGAATGAAAAGCCAAGATCTCAAATTCTTTCTTCTTTCTCAGTCTCCTATTTTTCATTTCATGCCTTTTTGATATTTCACTTCCTATAACTTATTATATTATACTTCTATTAGTATTTAAGTTATTATATTATATTAAGTATTATATTATTAATAATATTATATTATACTTCTATTAGTATTTATTATTAATAATATAATATAGAATATAATATATATAATATAATAATATATAATAATATATAAAATATATTATATATGGTATATGATATAATATAATATATAATATATAATATATAATATATAATATATAATATATAATATATAATATAGTATTATAGTATTCTAATTATAATTATTATGATATTATAATAATGTAATGTTATATATTACATTATATTATATCATATGTTGTATTATATATTATATTATATATTATAATAAAATACTAATAGAAGAATAGTAGAATGTGTTATGTACAACTTCAATATGGTTTGGGTTTTCTTGGTAGGATGAAATGGACATACTGGGATTAGCTATCCAGAAGTCTGAAGATGCTGCCGTAAAGGACCGTCATGTCGTGGCTGGGAAACTCGCTCACATCATGCAAGAAAAGGAGCAGGAAATAGATCATCTTCATGAAGAGATTGCAAAGCTGCAACAGCAACTGGAAGCCACAACTGACAACAAAGTACATATTTCTGAAAGCTTTTGCAGACTCCTGCTTTATGTTGCTAGTTGCTTTTCCTAATTTTTTTTTTTTTTTTAGTAGGGATTTTCTTTGCCTACTTTCTATTTATTATTCTGCTTTGTATCTGCTTTAGTTCTGTCCTTGGACTGTTCCTTGTTCTGAATTCTTCTAATACTTGTGAGCATTTAGCAGTATTTTGGTAGCTCTGCCTTCCTTCTGCCATCTTCCATACCGTGGCTCACCTTCAGTGCGTTGTGTTTCATTGACACCTGCTGGCACACGTTGTATCTTCTATCCAGTCTGAAACGTGCTGGATGTACAAAATTTATAGCAAGAAATGTGTTAAATTTCAGTAAACAAGATAATCCTTGTTATTTTCTATTATCTTCAAATTATGTATTTTTATAATAATAAGCTTGAGTATATCTAGCTTATTTCCAGTTTTATACAGTCATAATGTATTTGATTTCAACAGAAATGCCACTTACTTTACAATGATGCACGTGCCAGCAGAAGCAGGATGTTAGTCTCACAATTTTTAGAGTATRGAATAGAGAATAGAGTTCCTCTGCTTTACACAGTGATCCTAGTAATAAGGTTATRTCATTTACCTTGAGAAACATACCCRGGAATGAGATATAAATCATTCTGATGATAGGTTCTTCCTTCTTTAATATAAAGTTTCATTTTCTTAATTTCATCCTCTTACTCAGCTATATTTTCCAGCACGTTAATTAAGAAGTCTGCTTGCCTCATTATGAGATCAGTATTAAATATGAATAGATRCTCCTTAGGTCAGTCGTTTTCCTAATCCTATCTTCATCCCACTAAGTGCTTCTATGTAATTGCTAGGTATGTGGCCTTCTGTGGTTCTTTACTCCATTATGTTATGAAGAACAGTCTTACTGACTAGATAGCAATCACCAGGATCACTCCTCTTCTAAAAAGCAGTGCCTTGTTCCCTTTTTCTTTAATGTTTTTCAGCTTCCTCTATTCTCTAGATTTTTTATTTAATGAGCTCTCACTTGCAAAATCAGATCTTCTAATTTGGTCACATTTTTTAAGTAATTTTTACAGAGTCATCTTACTGTATTGTCCAAACCTAATGATGGATAGAAAGGAAAAGGAGAGAGATCAACTGTTTTAGTAATAAATATAACCCTCACTCTTCTCCTGCTCATTTTTTTTTCTTCTTAATGTTTCTGTAAGTCTCTTTTACATTACTTAGGTACTATCACTGATTTTATTTTATGCTATTCCATTCCGAATATTCTGACAAATTTTCTTCTGTCTTTTTTATTTCCAGTGTAGAAGTTCTGTTCGTTTCAGACTTTCAGACATTTTCTTATGAAAATATATATACTTAGTTTCTTTGTTCTGTTCTCTGTATAATCCAGCCTGTTACTTTTGCAAAGGATTCTTTGATGTTTTTCCTAACTTTAATAAGAATTTGCTCCCACTGCACTTTTAATTAGCAATTCTTTTATAACATTCTTAAGATTTACTCAATTGGAATCTTTTCTTTAATTTTTGTGCCCTCTTATTTCTTTCTTCTTAGAAGTTGATATAAGAAGAAGACTTCTTTTTGTCTGCATCATAAAATGATACCTCTGATTTTTGGATAGGTAAACTAATAAACACSCCTAGCTTCCCCTCTCTCTTCTTTAATTCCAGCTATAGCACAAAAAAAAATTTGCCTTACATATTGGCTGCCCCATGTGTACTTTGCATGCCCATATGTGTATATATGCAGGCACAGGCACACATACACACAGTCATGTGCTTGTGTGTRTATGTATACAAGAGGTTTATGGTAGGTTATATATAGGTTTATATGTACTTCTAGGTTTCTGATAAGGAATGTCAGAGTCAGCTGATGCATGTTTCCAGTGGCATCAGAGAGAAAAAAAATACGTTTGCATTTTTCAACACATTTAATTAAAGGTTTGTTCGTGTTTAAAATGTATATCCATCTTAACTGGCTGTGGCCAGTATGCATCCATTTACATGTATTTGTATGGTGCCTCTGAGTGAAGAACACAATATCTGATAAATTTAGCTGAAGCTCTGGTGGCTTTTGTTTTTTTTTTTAATAAATGTAATTTCTTTATATAATGTACTTCAAGATAACCCATCTGTAGGTGCTAGGCTTTTTAAGTCKTGGTTCCCTGGAATTCTTTGAGTAAGTCTAGTATATTCATCCTTGATTGAGTAAGAAAATTGACCAGCACAGATGCAACCACTCCCATTTGTTTCCACTGTGATTTTTAATAGGAAGGATGACCCAGGGCTTCAGACAAAATAGGTAGAAAAAAATATATTGTAAACACTTAAACTTCAGTGCTTCATACCTCAATGACTGTTATGAATATCTCACTTCTTGCAACACTTTCTCACATATTTTACAGTTTATTACGTCTACAGGCTGGTTTGTCCATCCTGTGTGAAGTTACTCTCATAAAGCTTTGCTAGAGGCATCCCATCAGGAAGTACAGGAAGTTCTTTCTTTTACAAGACTTTGCCATGTGTCTTTAAACTGTTGCCATGAAATCCAGGGAATAAAATAAAATAAAATACATTGAGGGTTTAATACTTACTCATGAGTTCCTTTGATATCTTTTCAGGTTATTGAAGAGAAAAATGAGCATATACGGGAGCTCGAAGCCCAGGTGGAATGTCTGAAAAGTGATCAGGAACGCGTAAGGAAAAAAAATGATGAGGAAGTGGAGCAGTTGAATGATGTGATTGAGAAGCTTCAGCAGGAACTGGCAAATATTGAACAAAAAGTTCCTGCAGACATCACTGCCCTTCAGGAGGACGCCGACAGTCTGAAGCACACGCTTGAAACAGTTCTGGCAGAAAAAGCAGCTTTGGAGACACACATGGAGAACATTAATGTAGAGGCATCTAGAACAAAGAATGAGCTTGAGGAAACTAAGTTAAAAATGAACACGCTGGAGCAAGAAATAAATTTGTTAAAAAAAGAACATGAAAGAATAACAGAGAAGTGTGTTTGTGCAGTGACAAAAGGTGATAGGGAAAAAACAGAAGACTGCAGCAACAGAAAAGCTGAAAATGTGGAAGAAGGCTCACGTGAGAAGGTAGAATTGCTAGATCAGGGCCAGTCTGCAGAGGAAAATGCAGGAGTCGTCATCAGCAAGATGGAAGCACAACTGCAGCAGCTTCAGGCATGTGTGAAGGACAAAGATACAGAACTGTGCCAGTCCTACAAAGAAATAAAGGACTTGAAAGAGCAAGGCAAGGCTGAACGAGAAACACTTACAAAGAAGATACTAGACCTGGAGAAAGCACTTGTGGAAAAGGTGGCGGCCGCTCTTGTGAGCGAGGTTCAGCTCAGTGCAGTTCAAGAGCAAAAGCAACTCGTGCAGGAGATGCAGGCACCTTCAGGGTGTTCAGAGGAGGCAAATAAGAGTGCCCAAACAGAGGACTTGGAAGATGGAGCTGAAAATGAGATGACATCAAAATTATCACTCTTGGCACACAAGCTTACTGAGAAGGAGAGTGAGCTGGCAAAAATGAACCACAGCTTAGAGCTAGAGAAAGAAAATGTAAAGATTGCACAGGAGGAGGCTGAATGGAAGGAGCAGAGACTCTTAGAGCTTCAGCAACTGCTAGAAGAGATTCAAGAAAAACATAAAAAGGAGATTCAGAAGTACATGAAGCAAGAAGGAATGCAGGTGTTTCAGGTAATCACGTATCGCTTTTTTTTCCATTGTTTTCAGTAAGATCATTTATTTTGTGATCATGAGAATGAGACCAATGAGACCACTTTTAAATGAAACCAATATTGGGTATGTTCTGTTGCGTGCGGTAGACTTTTGTTTCTCTAGTATTCGTGGAGTTCCAAAAAGTAAGAGAAGATGTTATTCTACATACAGTCCCATAGCAGTTTTCATTTTGCCCTAAAATTAACTTGTCTCTTTGTAGATATAGGGTCATTAGATTTTGAACATATACTTTTTTATTCTTATTTAGGATGGGGATAAAATGGGGTGAATTTTTCACACAAGTAGCTTACATGACAAAGAGGTRGAGAGACAAAAAGATAAAAATGATCTAAGCAAGAGTTTGAAATACATAAATGAGTGAAGGCAGCTTTCCTTATAGTGATATAATTGCTTGTTTTATATCTGTTTATTTATCTTCAGATTTTAGTTTACTTTTGTTTGTTTTCCTGCCTTCATTCTGATATTTCCCACCAGTAACTTTCRCCGGTGTATGTTTCTCCTGATTTCCATCCATTAGTAGTTATGCTGTATGAATTTAAAACCTACAAAGTGGACTGTACCCTGTGGCTAGTTTTTAATTAAAAATCACAATCTGTATTGCGGAAGCTTGGAGAGATAATGGAAATCCAAGACCAGAAAAAAATCTAAGTCATTCAATTGGCATTTAGGTGGAAGGTCTTGGAAGGAGTCTTAGAAGGTGGAAGATTGTGATTATATTATTATATTCTTATAAATATTCTTATACGCATATAAGAATTGTATAATTCTTATGTATATATTCATATTCTTATATACATTATATTCTTATATACATTTAATATATAAAATTCTTATATTCTTATAAATTAAAAAGTACTATGAGGCTGCATTTCCTGCTGCTTGGCTGGAAGATGTCGGGCCCTGTAGATTTGGGCCCTTCCTAGGTGGTATGACTAGTTTCTATTTACAGTCCAATAAACTGTGRAAAGAGTCTTTCCACCCACACATACCCAGTTTGTGGCTGTTATCAAAAACACTTTCTTGAGTTCTTTCTMTCTTTCTTGAGAGAGTGTGTTAATCCAAATAACATACATGTGTTTTTTCTCCCCTGTGGTCATCCTCATTTTTGGCTTCAGGGAATTGATGTGCAAGTGCCTTAATCAATATTATATTCTTCRTAAGATTCTTCAAGGTTCATCATATCTTGTGTTGTCCTATAGGTAGCAGCACAACTTGCAGAAGGTCAAAAAAGAAATGTACTCCCTGATGAATCTCAACTAGGARAAGGGAAGGAAGAGTCAGCTGCTGCTACAGAAGAGCTGAGTAGTTACAGAGAAGAGGCAGAAAAGCTTCGACAAGAACTAGCGGTAAGAGGCAGATTGTTCCATGATATAAAGGACTGTACAGGGCTTGCTGTGGTGCACATGTTATGAATGTTTTAATCTCGTACTGAAAATGCCACCAAGAAAAATGTTCACTCRCTATCTGCTGTCTGTGGAAAATAACTGGTGCTGTAGACAAAAATTGCATTTGTTGCCAACAACAGTGTGGTGACAGTTCTTAGCAGCAGAGAATCTAGAACCAAGTTCCCCCACATGTTAATATTTGCTACCAGGTATCATAGCCTCTTAAATGAAAATAAAGCTGAAATGAATTTTGATTGTATAGAGGGTTGTTGGGCTTTGGGGATTTTTGTGAAGCATTTGGAGGGAATACAATTCAAATWCTCCCTATTTACAGGTGAAAGAAGCAAATCTGGTACGTGCCCAGGAAGATCTGTGCAAAGTCAAAGAGAACCTAGTTCAGGCAGAAGAGAAACTTGCAAGTTATGTGAGAAAGGACAAGGAAATGGCAAAAGCTGAAAGCAAGAAGGATTTAGAAAGTCTGTCTGATTTGTCAGCCAGTGAGTCTGCTCTAGTTAGAAAAAACTCATCTTCACAGACTGACAAGACTGTGGAAATCAATAGCTCTGTTCAGACTTCACCAGTCCTTGCTGCAAATGCAGAAGTTCAAGTTGATTTGCAAAGTGGCTGCTCTTCAGAAGAGATTGCTGAGATCATTAGAGAATTCACGGAAAAGATTGATCAAATGCAAGAGCTGCATGCTGCAGAAATCATGGACATGGAGACGAGGCATATCGCTGAGTCTGAGGAATTAAAGAGAGAGAAGTTTGTTGCAGTCCAAGTATTGACTGAAGAATGTAATTCTTTAAAGGAAGTTATAGAAACTCTGCGGGCTAAAGAGGTATTCATGTCATTTTATATTATTCATCTCATYTTATATTCATTATACTACCTTGATTCTTGTTTTTACTCTAGCTACTGAGTCTTTTAAGTGCGAAGCATCATTAATGTTTAGTGTAAAGTTTTCAAGTTTCCCATTTCCACAGCCTAGGAGAGACTGTGAATCCCTTCCCCAGCAGTTCAGCTTTGAGAGTGTGCCCTCCTGTCAGATGCTTCTGTGTGCTACCTTCTTGAATCTGGTCTCTGGGGATAAATGTAGATTGCACATACAACACCATCTTTCTATTGGCTTTATTTAATTATTTATTTACTTATTTATTTATCAAGGGGGAGCAACTCTCCCTTCTTCTTCAAGTTTGCTCCCTGTTGGGAGGGAGCATGGTCTGATTGAAGGTTTAATTGTTCTCTTTTCTAAATTCAGGGGATACAGATTTCTGGATTAGCATCTTCTCCGCTTTGTCAGGCTAAAGATGCATGTTCTAGTGGTAAGAAACTTTTTTTTATTATTTTTTTCAGTATTATAAATTCAATTTGCTTTTCTGATTTAGAGTTTGTTGTTAAAGAGTTGGCATTCCAAGGAACAAAATCAACCACACCCCCAGGTGACGCGGGAATCCTTTCTCAATGAGTAACTGGTGCTGATCGTGCCATGTCTATTATCCCATGGCAGAGAGAAACATCTGCGGATGAGATGGGTTGAGGGTAGAAATTAGAGGCGAATTTTTTTTCTTCCAAATGGAGTTTGGTATTTTTCTTGCAGACTCCAATGTCTCTTCAGAGTGACTACATCATCTCTTGATAGATTTTAAAGCTAAAGCTCCCTCACAAATAGAGATGATGGCAAGTATTTTTTTCAAGAGCAGCAAAAAGGGTTAATGAGATCCTTTTCAGAGGCCAGGGCTAAATGTATTCATGAGGGTTTGTGAGAAGAACTCCTGAAAATAGTTATTTTTCYGTCCTTTAAAACTAACTGGGATTTTAAAGTTTGGGGATTTTTTGTTTGTTTTGCTGTTACTGCTTTGAAAGTAAAAAAGAAAAAMTAAAAAACAGGTAGTCTCCAGGCTTAATATCAACTGCAGTGACATGCAGCCACCTGTTATAACAACAGACAAAAATACTTTTTGATGCCTGTTCTTCAAAGGTTCACAGTATTCCAGCTTTAATGTTTTTCTCTCCTTTTATTTTAGACTCTGGTTCAGACTGGAGTCAAGGAATGTATCTTGCTCAGACTCAAGGATCTGACACTGTATCTGAAGGAATAGATGAAGGTGAAACTTCAACAGATTTACTCCCTCAAAAAATTAAGGTAAAATAGAACAGATCGTTTTTATTATGGAACAGGAGCGATGCTACAAAAAGCTCAGGAGCTGCTGCTTGATCACTGAACATAAAGTCATTTTGATAATTTTTAAGTGTTAATGTTAATGCATTAAAATACTATTTTAGTGCATTTTACAGGACTTCTGATATTTGATGTGCATTGTATTTAGAAAGGTCCATAACGAGTTAAATATGTTTTGACAAAACATATGCCATTACATTTGAAATGGAATCTTTCACAGAAAATTAAATTAGATTAGATTATACATGAGTTTCATAAAACTAAATTAATTCTCAGTTACAGTTATGAAAATAGAGCTAGTTTTTTTTTTTATTTCTTCATATTAATGATATGGCATAAACATATTATACAATTACTGCATAATTTCTATAATTTCTGTAGTTATAAAATAATAATTGTATTATGAAAGTAAATTAGTRTATTTATTGTAAGTAGTAATGGTGAAATAGATAGCTTAATAGAGATATCAGATAATTTAATGCAGAGCTTAACTGGAAGCTTCCCAAACTTGGAAGTTGGTTTCCATCAGGAATTCAGTTTAAAATTCAAGTATTTTTAACAGGTTTAAAATTTTAACAGTTTAAAATTCAAGTATTTATTTAACAGGTGAACTATGGGAAATTTCCTTCAATACTGAGATTCCTCAGTAATCTAATCTGATCTAGTGGAGGCTTCTCTCAGTATTGGGTGAACAGGGAACTGATCAAAGAACTGAGTAACACTTCTGTTATTGGTACAAAGGAAGCCTAAGTAGTTTCCTTATGCTTATTAATTTTAAAATAATGATATTCCAGCAGTATGGATTGAGATTTTTATTACTAGGAGTGATATTACTGGTTTATTCTTGTATTTACTGTAGGGTTTGCTGAGAGCAGTCCATCAYGAAGGCATACAGGTTTTGTCTCTCACTGAATTTCCATATGGTGAGAGAGAGATACAGTCCCCTAAGCAAGGGCCAGAAACTTGGTCTGAAGAAAGGARAGCTTTGCTAAGCACCATTGCATCTCTGAAAGACCTGATTGCCAAAATGCAACTTCACAGGGAAGCGGAGGTATGAACACTATTTAAAAAGTCTATCTAGATTAAAAATTTGAAAATATCAAAGCTTCATAAGGCACATTCATAATTCAGCATTAAATTCTGCTAATAKGCAGTTGTGAGGCAAGATTTCAGAAATATGAAGTAGTAAAATGCAGGTTAAAATTACAACTTTCACTTGTTCTTCTGTGTAACAGGACTTTGTTATTAAAATGAGGCTGTAGTGAGAGAACAGAATATGTTTAAATCGCTTAAAAATATTGAACAAAGCTAATATTAATCAGTAATTTGTTAAAACTTGTGTATAGGGATTTGCTTCTATAACTAACCCAGATACACTTTTGGAGCTATGTAGGCAGTTTCCTTTTGCATTTCCGTCAGTGTGCAAAGTGTGTGTGGGGAGTTAAAACTCTGTTGCAATAAATYTAATAAAATTAAATCTTCTTCTGCACAGCATATAGTTCTGTTGCTGTGTAAAAATGGAATTTAAACATAGGTAAACAGAATTTAAATATATGTGATGTCATGAAAATTAAAAGGGTAGTATAATACAGTAACATAAATGATATCTATATGGGACTAAGTTTTCAGCTATGAAAATCTAAATTACTCCCATGTAAAATATACATACAAATTGTTTTTCATGAAGTTTAACATTTGTGCATATGGAGGAAATTATTGCATGTGTGCCATAGGTAGAGGCATCTATGTGAACAAATGTTATGCAGCTATTGAATAAGAAAAGCTCAGCAATCCTCTGAAAACACCCACTTCATGTAGTAAATAGCAATGCCAACTCAAAAGTAATGTAATCTTTGAATTTTGCTAAATATTTTTTATATCGTTTTAGACTTCTGCAAGTTCTGAATGTGCTGAAGGCGTCTCCGACTGGCGAGGAGAACTCCTACATGCCGTCCAGCAGGTCTTTGCGAAGGAACAAAACGTGCTCCTCGCTGCATTTCAAACTGAGCTTGCAGAAGTGGGCACAGGAGATGCAGTGATGCTGATGAATCACCTCGAGCGCAGACTACTAGAGCAGGTAACGTAAAACGTCCTTTAGTCAAGGCCTATTTATACTGATCTTAGATTTTAAATTTTAATGCGTAAGTCTGTTAAAATATGTATAGTGTTGCATCTGATACTCGGAGGATGAAAGCAGAGGAAGACTTGTGGGAAGAAAAGATGTCTGATGCAGTGAGGAGACAGATTTTTGGATACTCAAGCTACAGAAAGAGTACAACCTGTAGAGATAATTATGAAGTGAAAACAGTTGTCCTGAGCTTGATTTCATTTAGTTAATTAGCGATACGTTAGGCAGGCTGAGAGAAAGAGTACCTTTATACGTGAAGCAAATTGTAAGGAGGGAAAGTGATAAGGCTGCTATTCAGGCAGACAGGTCTGTTATCTTCTGTGGGACATGCAAGGATTAGGGAGGAAAATCAGAATTTCCCATAAAACTAATAGCTCTTTTGATCGTACAGTTTTGGTGGCTAGTCRGGTAATAAGGTAAGGCAAGCAGTTCTTTTTTGTATTACAATATTTCATAATTATGCCTTCATTTAAATTGCTTTTAATATGACTTTATAATATAATGTGACTTTATAATATAAAATAATAATAATAAAATAATAATATAACACAATGACTTTATAAGCAAATATAGTATCTGCACTCTCTAGATACTTTCGTAACTATACTGTTTTAAAAAAAAAATCTGAAAAAAAATCTGAAAAAAAAAGTTTTACTTCTGCATTTGTTTTAAATGTTAATAGGCCACTAACCAGCGAGCAGCTATGGACTGTCTTCAGAATGCAGACAGAAGAAGTTTGCTAATGGAGATTCAAGTATTACATGCTCAGATGAGCAGTAAGAAAACTAATCCAAAGAGAGAACAAGAGGTTGAGTCAAAAAGCCAAGGTAATTGTGGTCCATTTCCATATGATTTTACATCAGTACCTTTAGATAAAGTTGTAGGTGGAGAACTATTGACTCTTTTTTTTTCTTCTGTGTGATCTTGATATTAATCTAATGTCCTGAGCATGCTGAGTTTTCATTTTTTTCAATCTTGCTGGACACATTTTGCAAAATTTATGAAGTAGTCCATGTTGTTATGGATCATATCTAACTGAAAGGGATGCAAAGCTATTTTGATTATTATAAAAATCAGGTTTGCATGTTAAGTGCTTAGGTCCAACAGCCCTGAAATTCTATAAGTTGGAAATTCCGTCATAAATAAACCAAGTAACAACTAAACCGAACAACAAAAATGTAAAGATGCACTTTAAAACTTAAGGTAATCAAATGCCTGATTTTGTCATTAATATTTTCTATAACTGTTATATTTTGGAAAATAAAACCATGCACATCATTATGTTAGTAATAAGCCATTCCAAATTATTTATAGGAAATGTTATTTAGGTTAATGATGGTTTGGTTTTTTTTTAAATGGTAACTGTTAGTCATAATTCAGGTGACATATATATTCAAATGGTTATGCATATAGTCTGTTAAATAAGTTTAAGAGTTAAATAAGTTTAAGTAATTTCCGTGTTAATGATTCTCTCATTAGAAATGCTGGAGTACAATATGCAGCAGAGACAGTCACAGATACTGGAGATGCAAGTGGAGCTCCGGAGTGTGAAGGACAGAGCAGCTGAGCTTCAGGAGCAGCTGAATTCGGAGAGAATGATGGGGGCTGAGCTGAAAAACGAGCTCGCACAAGCTAAACTAGAGCTGGAAACCACCCTTAAAGCACAGCACAAGCACTTCAAGGACCTAGAAGCCATCAGGTGTGGCTTTCAGGGCCAGGTGTTCTTTGTTGACGGCAAAAATAATCTTTTCTGCAATGCCTTAAATCGTAATACTGATTTTATTCAGGAAGTTGTCGTGTAAATGGCATGTCATGTGAATGCTTCTCTTTTTTTTTTTTTTTTTCTAGAAAATGTGCCTGACAAAAAATAGACTTCTGTCTTAGTTGACAAAAAAAAAATGTATAGATTAAGGAGATCTGATTTATAGTGTGGTTTAATGACATACTAATATTGAGGAAGTTTGGGTGATTTTTTTCAACATTAGACTACTGTTTGCAAACTAATTATATCATATTTATTAATGTAGAGGTTTTCCTGTTTCTTGGAGAACTTGGAGAAAAAAAAGTTGCTGAGTTCTGATGACATTGCAGGTATTTTTGTATGCAACTCATAACTTGTTAGTTTTGCTTTGGGGTGGACCCAGCAGCAGAGTTGCCAAGCCAACCATTTTGAAAGATATTCAATAAATATTTTATTATTAATGCCTTAACTAGGTGAGTAGCCTCCTATATGGTAATGTAATGTTCGGGTCAGTGATAGCAAACTAAGAGAGCTACTAAATTGCTAAACTAATTTACTTGGTATTGCCTTGATAGATCAGTGACAGCAGAGTTCTGCTCTGTGTTCTGTGGAGGCAGTTTGTTCAGCTAAAGATATTTCTGCTTTTGTGGGGAAAGGCAAAAAGATGCCATAAGCTCCCCTGATGTCCTCCAGCTTGACTTTAACCTGAAATTATCCTAGCTCACACACACACACACACACACACACACACACACACGTTATTTTGAAGCTAAGCTCTCTGTTGTTGCACATTCATGACCATTTTATTCCAGGGCAGTGATCAGTGCCTCGGGACCCTTCCATTTACATGGAGAATGGAGCTGTAGGGTACTCTCCATCAGCCTGGGGATGAAGTGGGGCAACCAGCCTTGGGCCTTCTTCCTTCTGCTGCCCCCAGCACGGCCAGCTGCTCTCTCCTCTATGGAACAGGCCCATTTACTGGGTTTCATTGCAAACTGGGGTCTGACTCATAGCTGCCCTTCYTGGCTCCATCCTTGAAGCCCTTTTTGCTTGCTGACAGTATTGGCTGGTGGGATTTACTTTCTCRCACTAACTTGAATATTTTTATGATTTTTCACTACATGAGATAACCTTTCCAAYGCTGAAAAGTCCCTCTAGACTCCTGCTAAAAAGTTAGCAGGATGGATGTGCTTTCTGTTAAGTGTAGAGCTGTGCAGTTCTTTGGGATACTTGAGGGTTTTTTTCTAAATAGTTTTTTCACTCTTATTCTACTACATGAGTAGTGTTTTCAGTGAAGAAGATGGAGTAAATACGAACTAACTGATGTTACTGTTGTGTGGTTAGAGCTATACTCTTATATCTATATGTGCCAAAAAAAAAGAAAAAAAAATGAGCACGGGATTCCTCTGAAGTTCTGTGTCTTGAAATGAATTATTCATTGAATTCATTAATGAAGCATCCAGATAATCTGAGTAAATGTGTGGCTGTTTGAACAGCTTGTAAATGGAAAATAATTATGAGCCTAAATTATGTTTTGCCTCTAAAGTGTGCCCATATTTGACAACACTCTTACAGATTGCCTGTTTGTCTTTTAGGAGTGAAGTTAAAGAAAAGGCAGCTGAGCTGGATGTGCTTAAGGACACGATGGCAAGCGAGCAGAAGAAATCCAGGGAGTTGCAGTGGGCTTTGGAAAAGGAAAAAGCTAAAATGGAGCGCACAGAGGAAAGGGGAAGAGAAGAGCTTGAGGTATCTCCCCCTGATCTCCAATTGCCTGCAACATAAAGGATCGTGCAAATACTCTTTAGGCTAGCAATTCATCTCAGTTGATGTTTTTCTGCCAAAACACTGTTTTTAAGGAGACACGTTGTTTGTCTCTTCAAACATCAGCCCACTCACCTCATGAAACCCAMGCCAGAAGGGGGTAGGAGGCTCCTGTAGAAGGGAATACACTGCTAGGCTCTGTCGTGCCTCTGCAGTATACGATACAGGGAGGCTAAAGCAGGTATCAAGGTAAAACAGCAGCTACTTTAACAGCAGGGATTTGTTTGTATTGCTAAGCCTTAACTTTCACAGTTCTGGACAGTAAATGTAGTTAAGCGCCTTAAACCTCAGAACTGTGGCTCCTCTCATCTCATAAAAAGTGTGTTACAATTATCTTTATGAGTTGATCTGATTTTAAAGACATCTGTAGTATTTTCTAACATCAGCTGGAAATGCAGCCTGCAAGTGTCATGGGAATTATAAATAGCAAGACCCGCTGGAAGCAGCCTGTGTACAGCAAACGTATGTGCAGTTTTCAGRAGATAATGCAAAGTATATAGAAATTGTTTTAATCCATTTTTCTTCTGTTTTCTCGTGAAAGGATTTGAAATTTTCACTCGAAGATCAAAGGCAGAAGAACTTAGAGTTAAATAAACTTTTGGAGCAAGAGAAGCAGCTATCAAGTGATCTGCAGCAAAAAATTGAATGCCAGGAAGCCCTGAGTGCTGCCCAGCTGTCACATGAACGAGGCCGTAATTCAGAATTGCAGGTGCTCCTTGAATCAGAGAAGGTTCGAGCGCTTGAAATAAGCACTGCCCTAGAAAGGGAGAAGGAGCTCTGTGCTCAGCTTCAAAGTGCTGAAGACAAGGGGCAAGCTGGAACACCAAATCCATCTGAGGAGTTGCTTAAAGAGCTGCAGAAACAAATGGATGAGAAGCATGACCGCGTGGTGGAGCTGGTGAGTGAGATGGAGAAGTACAAACTGGAATCTGTGCAGGTGAGACAGCAACTGGAAGAGGAAAGGCAGCTCCAGAGGAAAGCATTACAAGCAGAACAAGAGGCTAACATAGTAGCACAGAAGAAACTCCGTGAACTGGAGTCCAAAATAGAAGATCTTCAGTGGCAGCTTGGAGAAAAGAAACAAGAAGTTCATAAATTAGGAAATGAAGCGAAGAAATTGCAGGAAATAATCCAAGAACTGCAGAAAAAGGAGCAGGAGAATGAAGCAAAAAGGGAGGCTGAAAGAATAAACCACAATCACAGTGAGGTACAGTAAGACTTGAGCCATGTAATTCTAAACTGTGCAATTTTGCTTTAATTCTCTTGTTTGGTTAGAATCATTTCTCACCGTCTTTCCTCCATCTATAAAATAGTTTCTGGATTATATCTGTTAAAAATAGAGGCAGCAGGGAGCTCACTGAGCTGCCCTAGTTGTGCCACCCAGAGCTTCTCACACCCCTTCTCTGCAAATGCAGCTGCAGAGGTGAGTAGGGGGGGTGCAAATAGGAGAAGAGCATCTGCATGAATGTGAGAGCTTGTATCCAGGTACAGCAGGGCAGGAATATTGCCCACACCCGGGCTAGCAAGTGACCTGGTCCTGCTCCAGCTCAGCGTTCCCAATCCTGGTCAGCATTCCAGGAGTGCTCCAGGTCAGCGTTCCTAATGCCTAGCCCACAGACCACAGGTGGGCTTTGAAACACCAAAAATTGATCTGTCCAGTGACTGCAGCAATTAAATGAATAAATAGGCAAACCTGCATACACGTGAATTGGATACGGATGTGTTAGCAAACAAAATAAAAGGAGGAAATTGAGGCAAGGCAAACATTAATCACAGAGTTGGCTTAATTTTTAGATTATTGAAAAATGGAACTGCTGTTGACTGTGAATTCTCTTTTTTTTTTCCTTATAAAAAGGGTTTGAGCAAGTTTAAAAATATTTTAAAGTCTTTTAAATCTGTAGGAAGTTTGCTAGGAGAGGTAAGAGTTGCCAAATGGATAATTTGCCGATAGCTCTCGATAGGGTTGGCAGGACACTTGTTTCTTTGGCAATTATATTTTTTTGCCCCCATCTTGTAACTTGTCCCCAATTTTTGGCTTACCTTATTTGTGGAGCCAGGCAGAGCATTTTCTCTTCATTTGTTTTGGCCACTGCTCCTAATGTTCTGAAAACCTGCCCGTAGCCACAGGGAGGGTGTTGCTGGGAAGCACGTGGTCCTTTGGCTGTGCGTTCAGAACGACTTGTTTGTGGTTGAAAGCACCGTGCCACGTGCAACCTGTGTGTAAATCCACCCCTCCAGAGAACCTGGGATACCCCGAACGAGAGAACAAGGAACTGGGTCCTCCAGCAGAAAATGGAAGGAGCTGAGAGCAACGAATCCGCGTTCCCGGCGCTGACGGCAGGAGGGGAGCTCTCCGCGGCCATGGGGGCTCTGGARAACGCCAGGCAGAAGCTGCAGGACGCGGCCCCCAGGCTGAGGCACCTGGCTCGGAAGGCTGCAAGCAGGTGGGATGAACCCTCAGGCTGCAGGTTGAGAGCAGCCTGCAAATCACCGGGCTCCAACTGTACTTTCCAGACTATCCTCTAACTAACTCCAGTGTTCTGGTCTGTAATATATCAATACGTTAAAATTTTAACAATTTAAAAATTGTAAAGCATTAAATATATGAAATTTGTCTTGAAATACTTGGGCAAAATAAAAGGCAGTGTGCCATAAAATTTTTTTTCACATGCATTTAACAAATTTGGGAGAATCAAAGTCACATTTCTAAACAAAACTCACGTAGAACTTTCCATCCCAAAACAGCAGTCGTTGTTCTATGTAAATTCGATGTAAATTGGAGGTGATTTAATTTAGTTAACAAAGTATCACTCAGCACTCTTGAAAACGTTGCTGTGGGCTGCAGTGGCTGCCCTGATGCACGTGGCTGAGGATGCAGGGAGTGTGGCCGACGGGGTGGCTGCTCTCTCAGTTGGACTGTGTGCTCTTAAACCGAGTTGTTGGACCTGTCCCGTTCGTTGCAGGTTACAGTTTGAAACRGCCGATGATGAAGACTTCACCACTATACAAAATGCTATTGAAGAAGTCATCTCGGAACTACAAAAACTGCCCGGGTTGTCACACCTGGAAGAGGTGAGAGTGTGATGATGTAGCTTGATTTGCTGGGAGATTTTTGGACGGAGAAGGGCAAGGATCTGTTCAGTTTGTACTTGTCTGGGGCTGCACTTTATAGAAGAGAATCTGTTGCAGTGAATGTGCTGAGCTGAAGTTGGCAAAGTTGGTTTTGTTTCTTGTTTTTTCTTTTCTAGTTTTGATTCCTTTTAAAGTGAATTTATAGCTTTCAAATGCAAACTTTTCCATTCCTTACAAAGGACTTAGAGATAGCTGAAGTTCTTAACTTTTTTTAAAAAAATATATATTTTTGTATAATAGTATTTCCATAACTGCAGTTATAATGAGAAACTTTGCCCTGATATGAAAATCAACCTTTACTATTTAGCGTGTTCTGTTGATGCAGTGCATTTGCTTAAACTACCCAGTATTTATCAAAGAAAAGGTAATAGAAGATTTTGCACACCTAATTAATACATGTAATGGAGTCATCTGTGACAAAGACTTCCTTAATTATTTGTTTTTAACTGAACTTGACTGGGTCCTCACTGGTCCTCACCACTTTAAGCAAAGATTTTCAACATAGCTGCAAGTTTTGTGCATTGCTTATTTTTTTTTTTATTTTGCCTTTAAGTTGGAAAGAAATCGATCATAGAACCACAGAATGGTTAAGGTTGGAAGGGACCTCTGGGGATCATCTAGTCCAACCTCTCCTCCAGCAGGGACACCCAGAGCACGGGGCGGCATCCAGGCGGGTTTGGAAGATCTCCAGACAAGGAGAGTCCACAGCCTCCCTGGGCAGCCTGTRCCAGGGCTCTGGCACCCTCTCTGTAAAGAAATTTTTCCTTAAATTCCTGTGGAACTTCTGGTGCTTCAGTTTGTGGCGATTTCCTCTAGTTCTGTCAGTGGCCATTACTGAAAAGAGGCCGCCCCCTCCTCCTCACTCCTTCTCTTAAGGTATTTATATACAAATCRAAACACAGCAGGAGAGTTTGCTCGTGGTTAGGCTGCGCTTAAGCTCCTGAGACAACATTCTGCCATGWGTACCATGCACACCTTCTGCCCAAGGGGAAGTCATGTCTGACGAAMCTCATAGCCTTCTRTGATGGGAWGACAGGCTGGCTGGACGAGGGGAGAGCCGTGGATGTTGTCTACCTTGACTTCAGCAAGGCTTTCGACACTGTCTCCCATAACATCCTCATACGGAAGCTCCGGGAGACTGGACTAGACGAGTGCACGGTGCGGTGGATCGAGGCCTGGCTGGATGGCAGAGCTCAGAGGGTGGT